TGTCGCGGTCTTGTGTCCAAGCGTTTTGCGGTCCAGTTTTTATAAAGCGAAAGACTCGAGTTTGAGTTATTTTTCCCCTTAATTCTGCACGTTGTGCATAAAAGCTTCGCCCGCTGGAGCGCCAGTAGGCTTGCAATAGCTTATTAATGGTCTTTCTGCTCATTTATTATGGTAACTTGTGTTTTGAGAAAATATATGGTGGTGTTACAAACTCAGCTTTAAATATTTAATATGTGGAATTCATTTGTCTGGGAGATACTAAAACCCTTCATCAGTGATGAACTGCTCTCCCTGGCGTGTCCCAGGCACCATAAATCAGCTCTGGCTTTGGGCCCATGATGGTGAGTTATATGTATGAACAGGCTTGGGTCTGAGCCTGTGTGCCCTGCCAAAAATAGTGTATTCGTGTCATTTTTCAATGCAAATTACTAGTATGTGCAAATTCACTTTGTTTTGCTTCACAGATATGACTTTGGAATAAAAAAATCTCAAATAAACATTACTTTGCCAGCACTGGGATATTGATCAGAAGCTTGTATTCTTATACTTATGTAAATAGTGCCTTTTAAGATAAGGGACTAACCATGACTATGAAGGGTTTTAGGTCTGTGTCAGTCTGTCCATCCCTGTCAATCCTGGATTTAGAGCAGTGCTTAGTACTAATTAGATTAAGAAAGCATGAAGGTCTGTTTGCATTTGCTTTTTGTGAAATACTCTTTTTTCTTGTCAATTTCAAAGGACCAATTGTTGGAATCCGGGACTACATAAACACCAAATATTATTGAAATATACATGAGAATCTGTCACAGGATGGAAATATTTTTGCAGAGTCCTGAGTGGCTTGGGTGAATGGAAGGAATAAGGGGCCCTTTGGATTCTGCTACTTATTGTTGATGTAAGAAGCATGGTGAAAGCAGTGATCAAAGCCACTGCACAAACCAAGACATCACAAGGTAAATTCGGATATGAATCTATTCAAAGATAAATATCTTTTGATGTTGCTTAACTTTATAAATTGCATTCTTGATTATTTGATTATTGACTGGTATGTTAGACCTGTGTTTCCAGTTGGACAGACATTCATGGTTCATGGTTCAGGGCACTAAAAGAATAATTTTGATCTGTGACTGAAAAATGAAAAAGCTACTAATCTATGGCATTCTGCAAAGATGTCGTGAAAGTCCTATTTATTTGATAACTATGCAAAAAATTGAGAACTTATATTTCAAATTGCTGTTGATTTTTTTTAAAGTCTCTCTGGATTTTAAGTACTCTTGAATTTTAGACTTTCTAGAGGGACTGGGAAGAGGAAAGGTGGAAAGAGGAAAAATACCACAACTATCAATTTTCCAGACTGTTCTCTCTTTTAAGAATAGCTTACTATAATTAAGGACAATAATACTTGATGCATAATGGAAGCACTTTTTAATGTTACTTCAGTAAGTAACGTGACAAATATGTCATTCACTTAATGGTTTTAGTGGGCACCAATCTTAATAGCAAAGGTAATTTCTAGTCTTCATTTGTAGTAATGAAATTTAGTAAGTTATAATTAAGCAATATGGGAGCAAAGATGTGTTGCAGTGTCACTTGCAGTATTTTTCCTGCCTGAATGAAAAACAAACTGACATTTCGCTGATTTCACAGAGGTGTTTACAATGGTTAGCTCTGTAGCTGGATGACTTGTCCAAACACAGATGCTTGTAAACTTTGGGTTTACAAGTTTATCTTCCACTGAAGGTAGGAAGAGTCACCTGGTTATGAATTTGATCAAAATACTAATTACAAGTTTTGATAGGCCTGTTACAAATGCTGAGGGTTTTAAATTTCATTTTCCTTATAATAAAAAAAAAATTTAAACAAACTAATATTTCTGGCAACAGCATGGGATAAATTTACAATATCTGATTGTTTTTCCATTTTTATTTTTTTTACAAACAACTTTAAGATTTAATTGTTGCTGATTAAAATAAATGTGGATAAGTATCAATAGATTTCATCATGTTTTCATAAATGAATGATTATTTACTTTTTCAAATAGAATGGTGCTCTAATCCTTTAGATGGATTCATTCTTCATGAACTCATGCATATTGTCACTGAATTTCTAGTTCATTTGTAGTCATATATGTTTTCATAATTTTTTTTAACTTTGTTACTTTTTGGTTGTCAGAGCTGAACTGTTCATTATGAGAAGCTGTATTTATAATCACCTGGTCAGCATATTGTTTCTATTTGTAAAAAACTGGTTGCAGTCTGGAATAATATCCAGTAGTTAAAAATAAGTTAATTCTTAAGTTGTTTGTACCAAAACTGAACATGAACAGAAGAGAGTATATCAAATAAAAGTGAGGCAGAGTCTTGTGAAAGGGTTCTTGTGTGAGTTGAGGAGCACTTCCAGTTCTCAGTGAAGGTGCTTCTTGTCTCTTGTGGCTGATTTCTCCCTGTCTTTGCAGTGACAGCTTCCTTTTATGTTCAGGGTCTCTTCACTTTCTGTGGATGCCAGGTGAGCCCCCTGACACTCAGTGTGATCAAAGAGGGACGTCCAGTGTCAGTCCTATTCCCTTTCCACTGTTCCAATCCTGTGACATCTCTTAATTCACAGTGACTTGAGCAGCCCCCAGATAACTGAAGTGCTTGGTTTGAGTCTTACAGTAATCACCCTCAAAGAAGAGTGCTGAATGTGAAAGAAGATAACTTGTCTCACAAGTCTCTGCCAAATACCTCTAGATGGAGAGATTTCTGTTGCAGCTGTTCCATGTTTCTACTTTTCTATATTGAGTGTTAAGCTCCTCTTAAATGGATTCTAAAGTTTTCCAGTGGGCATTTGAGAACAAAGAACAAGAAAAAAAAATGTGTCAAAGATGATTTTTAAGCATTTTTAAAGAATGAGAAGGTCTTCATTGATAAAAAATAAGGATTGACATAAAATTACTTGTTCTACTTGGAATATAAGAAAAGGCAGCCCTGAGTACTTGATGCACAAAGAGAATGTTTTCCAAGACAGTGTCAGTGTCAATATTAATATTGTTTTGGTGCTAATTCTTTTGCAGTAGCACTCTGATGCAGTTGATACACATATCTACTCAGAAAAGTACTTTATAATAGTGTTCACATATTTTAAAATATGGCTGGAGTGTCATTATAGGATTTTTTTCATGTCAAATCTTACATAAAGTTGTTTGTTTTTCAGCATAGCTTGCAAGTGTCTTTACTGACTGAGAAGCTAAAATTATTTTCTGCCTATGAAAGTTGGAAAATGTTCAGAAACCACTATCAGGTAAAACAGAAATAATTCTACTTTTTACCCATTTTCATTTCATCTCTGAGAGAGCTCAATTAAAATAGCTTATCCTGAGATACAAAAAGTCCAGCTACAGGAGTGTTTTGGAGTGTTTCATAATTCAGTATTTTTGGAGAAGTGTTATGAAGAAGTGGGTACCTGCTGATGCTGTCAGGTCTAGAATGGGCACAACATGAGTTTATCAATGGCTTTTGTTCTTTACCCTTGTGGGCCAGGGAAGGCACATCTGCTTCCATGCAGTCATGGAAGGAGTGCCAGCTCCTAAAGTATAGTCAGAAAAGGGGGTTGGTTTATTCCCTTGGTCCAGCACCAGCCTGTGACAACAGCAGTCACATTATTTGGAGCTTCATTGTCCCTTTTACTCCTTCCTGGTCTCTTTCCACCACACTTTGCCCTCCTTTTCTCTGCCCCAGTCCCATCCCAAAAGAACAGCCCACTCCAACTACATTTTCCCCACTGGTCCCAAATATTTTACTTCTGTACCCAAAATTGATATTTCTGATTGCTGTTCTGGAGGCTGTCTAAGCTTTCCATGGAATTTCTGATGCCTAGCTGCCACTGGCTTTGCAGGATTGTGCTCCCAAAGGTGCCCCATACTCCCCTCCAGTTGATTCTGGAGTTTGTGGTTTCTTGCCTAACTTCACTGGGGCCCCTTGCAAGACCTAACAATCCCCCACAGCACCAAGTAACTTCTGTCAGCAAAAGAAGCATCACTGTTTGCTTGACATTTTCTCTTGTCATGTCTGGTATTTTTCCATGTCCTGTTCAGTTTAACCTCAAATCAGGGCCAATTCAAGGGCTGTGCTATTAACAAAATGTATTTGTAAAGATGGAAGAAAAAGCCACTTGTTTAAGATTTGCTGCAAGCACATACAGCTTGACAGTTAAAAATCTTTTAATTTTTGTAGTCCTTAAATAAATCAGGTAACTTGGAAGTTGGTAATATACCATGTTAAAAAAATTCATCCATTAAAAGTTTAAAAAATATTTTGAGTGCAGTTTATGGAATGCCATTTTGAATTTCCTTAGAATTTACTAAGTCCAGTCACTGGATCAGCCATGTGGCTGGAGCTGCCAGGTGTGCAGGGGCAGAGGAAAATACCTAATTCATATACAGTGCAGAGTTGATGTTCTCTGAAAAACTAATCTGAGGAGCATTTCTTTTGCTTGCCCCTCTTGCTCATTCTGACTTGCAGGCAATTGCTTGGGCAGCTGAGCATAAAGAGAATTGGGGAGTGCAGGCAACTAGAAATGAGAAGGGAATGGCAGAGTTGTAATGATTTATTAGGTCAACCATGCTGCTGAAAAATGCTTAGCAAACTGTAGGCTCACTGCATAAGATGTCACAAAAAATGCAACATGAAATGACAAAAATCTAGAGGTGAGTATTTCCCTAAGCAGAGGTGATGAAGCCAACCTCCCCAAGAGCCTGTGTTGGGATTCCTTGAGGTCCAGTAGGCACATGCTCTGTGTCAGGAGTTTTCACCTGACAGGGACATCCATAATAATCTTTTTCCAGTAGTAATTCTCTGTTCCCTCATGAAGGCTGTAGCCCTTTTCATGGTGATACTGCCTGGAACAGATCTACTCCCAGGCTGCTTAAGTTGGCTCAGAAAAGTTAGTAAGTTTTTGCTAGGTCAAATCAGGTTGAAATTTGGTAACTAGTAGAAAAGTTACTGCAAAATATATAGGCAGAGCCATTCACATATGTAGACAAATGGTGTAAACTTCATTTCCTTTGGAGATCAGATAAAACATCCAATCTGCATCACCTTTTATTTTTTAGTAGCATGTTTTAAAACTCACTTCATTTGGCAAATTGTGGAAATGAATCTTATCCAAATATAAATTAGTCATCTCTTGCATGGTTTCTGAATGTCTACAATAATTTTGCTTTTTAGAGAATGACATAATAAATAAAATAATTTTAAAATACTCCATGGTATTCCTTCAATTTTGTCTTCTAATCCTCTAGTAAAGCCAAATATTGACTACATGAATTGATATGTTATAGTAGTCTAGAAGCTGTTATTTATATTCTGCTGTCTGACTGATCAGCAGTACTGACTGTGGTAACAACATGATACAGAGGGATTCTTAGGTTCTCATCTTGACCTTTGATAATTTAGCGCTGAGCATTTGACTAGATGATGTATCCTCAAACCATTTTATCATAGGGGGGCAAGTTTGTTGAAATATTCAGTGCTCAAGGCAACAACCCAGGAGCAAAATGGAAGATTTTTGGCAACCCATCAGCTATATCAAAAGTAAGTTTTTAAAGAAATCTATAAACCCTAGAGTAGAAACCAGAAAAATGTGAATGAAGCTTAAAATTAGAAGGTAATGAGGGCTTTGACCTGACAGCGGAGTTGTCACTTGCAGTTCTATCATTTTGGCAGACTAAATGACTACTTAAATTACTTCTGTATGCCCGCTTGCAGACTGAGTTGGTCACAGTGTAATTTTACAGTTTAAATATTTAGAAAGTAATTTTGGCACTCTTGGGCAGTTGTCAGTGAATTGAGCTTTGCTCACTGACTCGTGAATCCTGTTTGTCAGCAATATTTGTTCATAAAACACACAAGTTAAGGACATATTTTTGTGGATTATATTTTTGCCATCAAATGTGAGCCAGTCATACTTGCAGTGCCATCTGCATTTTCTGATATGTTACTAGCATGGCTGGTTGACAGGAGGAGAGTTGTCAAGATGTTTATATTTGTTGTTCCTTTCTGTAGGAATACGACAAAGAACTAAAAGGCTTTGTTTTTGTACTTGAAGGAAACAGTCTAATCAACAAAATGAAGCTACCAAGGGAAACCAAACAAACTTGTGAGTATCAAAGAATTCACTGTCTGTGATGCTGTTCTGATTATTACATCAATCTTATATTGAAATGCTAAACATTGTTCTCCCTTAGTTCAGACATAATTCAGCATGGAAAAGTTTTTTAACTTTTTAGCAGGTCAGTGACAAATAAGTCACTGACAAAACTTACAGAAATGCCATGTTAGAGTAAGTGCTGTACGGAAGATCTAACATGTCCTGGTGCTGCCACGGTCACTTTGTACCCGATCCTGCTACAGACCAATGTCTGATAAATAACCTCTGAGTCCATTCAGCAGTTAATAAAGTCGGTAATTCTACTGGCATTAATGAATGGAAACTAGGTTCTTGTCCCCTTTCTTAGTTTACTTCATAAAGAATTTTTGGTTTTGTGTGAAATAAGCACTAGTGATACAAGAAATTTATACCCAAATTTCCTCTGTGTTTATGTAATCAGTGTTTAAGAGTACTGTGGAGTGTTTTCCCAGGATGTCTGTTGCACCACAATAATCCAGAATCCAAGCAGTCTGCAATACAGACTTCTGCAATACAGAAGTCATCATAAACTCCATGAGAGGGTGCTGTACCTTGTAAGGCTTGTAGGAGTGACTTGAGGTGGCTTAGAATTAACTGCTTGCTTTTGAAGAAAAACTGAGATGATGATTTTAAACAAATGGTATGGGAATCTTCCAGTGTACTTCTAATATAAGACATCATTTTTTTTCCAAAAACCACAACCCCCCGCCCCCGCCAAAAAAAACCACATTTTTTTGAGCTGATGAGCTCTGTAAGGTCTTTAAGTTTAGTTTGATTTTCATGAAAGAAATTGGCTGTTATCTTCATTAAAATTACTATTAATGCAATGTATATTTTTGAGCAACCAAACTAATTTATTTTCAATGGTGCAACAAACTAATATAGCAAACAGTGAACAATTAAAAGAAAAACAGTTGCTAACTGTTGCTAAATATTAAAATGAGGATTAAGAATTTATTGTGTGGGTAATCACTGCTAAAAACAGTTTGGTTTTAAATTTACTGTAGCTAATGCTGCAATACTGCAGTCAGGTTTCCATCTGTTACCAGTGTGTTTCCTTCTGTCTTGGTCTCTTCCTCTCTTGAGGTGTATGTACCACTAGTATTTCATTAATCGAGTATATGGTCTCCCAGTTGCACTGGAACTTTGTGTACTCTTCCAAAATAAAAGCTACTATATATGCAAATCTAATTTGAAGTTTTAAGGTGTCATTTGGCCCTCAAAAGAAGAAAGTTCTGATGTGCCATTCTTTAGAGGAGGAGCCAGTGTTGCTGTTCAGGCTGTTCAGGCTTGTGAAGTCAATGAAAAGCAGCCTGTGTCATCCCTGATGGAATATCTGGAAAACAGCATATGGTTCAATTCAGACAGCTTTGTACTGTTTTCCCTTGATAGAAAGCTACCTGAATCTTTTTGTTTGCTCCCTCAGTCAAACTCGTTTGTTATTATTCTAAAAATCAGAAGCCTCCACTGAGAGGCATTGTCATGATCTGAATTGCATTCTTACCCAAGAGTTTTGTTGAAGTTGCTTAGCAGGGTGTAAATTGTCACCAACATGAGTGCAAGTTTAACGCCACCATAAGATAATCTTGAAAGGACAGTATTACTTCATTTTAAAATTCTTATGGGATATTTATTGTCTTCATGCTCTTGGAGCACAAAAATTGTAAGCTAAAAGGTTCCTTTTGCTTTCATGAGAATTCCACCAAAGCCACAGATGGACTTTTAAAACAATACTTTTATTGCAGTTTGAATTGGATTTCTTCAGGTTTTTCTCATGTTCATATGTTGTGTGAACCTTGGGAAATAGTGTTGTAGGAGCATAGCATATGGTACAAAATGGAAATGCTGGATGGTGAAATATGCATCTGCATGCACACAGCTTTTTTTTTTTTTTTTCCTGTTTCTAGTGGGACTGGTGCAGCAATATCTGACACTTCAGATTTTTGTGCCATTGGGAAAAGACTTCGCCACTGAGTTACTGTAAGATGCGTAAAATTTCTTTGAATACTTAAAGTGAATTCTTGATTGAGGTCATTTATTGTGGTGGCATATTTTGCATTAAAGCATGGTGACTTGTCATGTCAATAAAAAGTAATTAAGCTAATGAGATCATTATTTCTTAGATGTTTTAAATACTGACATTCCTTTGAAGACAGAACAAACTCCAAAAAATCCTGAATGAAGATGATGAAAAATCCGAAGAAATGGAGCACAAATTTGTCAAACATATGAAAATACTGATGCATGAGGACTGCCTGAAAATTCATGAGAGTTATTCATTAGTCATAAGAGAGGGCCCTTTGGTCCAGGGCAAAAAGAAATGAATATTCTAATAACTGGAGGATAAAAACACAACCAAACAAATGCTAAAAAGCTAGAAAAACAAATGGAGTACTCGATTGGTATAATTTGTTCCACACTGTGAAGAAAGAGAGATACAGCAGGAACAGACATTTTATTAGTTAGGTGTGAAATGATTTAATAGAGTTTTAAACTTGGGCAGTTGTCAGGCTTTGGACAACATTTCTCCCTTAGTGACACCATCTGTTTATACTATATATAAACAGCACAACTCACTCAGCTTTGTAGCCCATAGAATATCTGAGATTGGACTAAGAAAAGAAATCTTGGGCCATTAGAAGCCCTGCAAGCAAAGATGGGTTGAATGATATCAATTAAATTAGCAATTAAATAGTGTAAAGTGAAAGAAGGATTTTATTTTTGTTTGACTTTCTGTAAGTTTGCATTTAAAGGGAAAAACAACCAGGATATGTCATGCAACAGAGGCCAAACATCAAGTACCAACTCAAAACCAAGATTTGTTTCTCATGTTCATTGTGTAGGCAGGGGCAGAGATTCAATGACCGGTGCAGGAACTCAGATTTTTTTGTAGTGTCATCTTCAGTTTTATTCTTTTGGGTATTTGCCACCTTCTTAACCAGAACCTCTTTTCTACTTCTACTAATTTCATTTTTCTCATTGCTTGCTTTTCTTGATAAAAATATTTTCTGTCACCTCTCCCACCCGTATTTACCATTTCTCTTTTCAACTTATATTTAGACTTTACATTTTTTAATATTTACTTTCTATTTCCTGTTCCCATATTTACTGTCTCTCTCTTATAAAAGCAAGTGTATGTTTCTATTATATTCTTAGATACTTTTATAGATTTATATACGTATTGCATTTTCTATATATATATTTTATGTAACATATACTATATTGCTATATAATGCATATAATGTAAACCATATTAACTGTATTTTCTCTGGAGCTCTAGTTACTTTGAATGAAGGTGTTTATGTCTTAAAAGTACAATATCAGTTGTTCCCCACGGAGTGCAGCTGTATTAAAAAGTTAATAAAAGTTCTTTAAAAATAGTTTTAATACTGAGTTTTGTATTTGAAATCAACTGTAACTTACCTTTACCTAAAAAGTCCTTCAATACTTGCAGAACAGACAATGCATTATTTTATCCTAGCAGACTTTAGATAATCCAGTAAATAATAAATACAAGTCCTTCTTGCCATGTGACTGCTGTGCAGTTCCCTTCTTTCCAGATGTTCTGAAAGCAATCTCTTGCTTGTTTGCAGAGTGTTGATGGTGCTGTTGCTTTCTGAAGTTTAATGTTCAAAGGTGGTTTCTTACACAACCTGACTACTTAGTGCTGAATCTTTGAGCAGCTTCAAGTAAAATTGATAGCATGCCAAGTTATGAAATTTACTTTGTGTAAAAATCACTGACAAGTTTTGTAATAGCTGGGCATGAAGCTTTATGTTGCATTTCTTGCTCTCCCATTCTGCAGAGAGATGGAAATAGGAATTTAGTTTGAGCCTCATCTTCTTTTGCATTCTGTTCAGTGATTGATTTGGTCAGCAAACAAGAATTTCTTCAAGACCATCCATCACTGCTGGCATCAGCAGAGCTAAACTTTCTAACTTGCTGCTGTCAACCAGTCATTTGAGATTCCTGCCATAAATACCGAAATGTGCAAACCATATATTAGCTGGTTTATCTTTTCTTCAGAAGAAATCTTAATAGAATTTTAGATACTTTTTAATGTGGCATGATTAGATGAATACCACCACATTAAAGTCAATGTATTGATCTGTGTAAAAATGTGTAAAATAGATAGTGGATGAAAAATTTGATGAAGCATAATGAAATCACAACTAAGGTAGAGAGAATGTAATTTATGCAGCTTCTTTGGAGCAAATAATAGCAAAGCTATTAGTAATGCTGAGCATAGCTGTCTGCTGCAAATGCAGTAGCCAGTTGTTAAATCTTCAGTGTTATGGATTTTGCTACTTTTCTGAAAAAGCAAAGGTAACTCAATGTTTGAAAAAATATTTGCATGTAAAAGAAAACAGCATCTGGCTTGTGTTGTCATTTTTGCTTTAATTCCCAATACATGGACATGTGGGTGTTAGTACTTCTGCTTGGCATTTTGACAAGCACTCAAACATTTACTCTTAAAGAACTGTAATGCCAGTCATGGTCACACTTTGTTTCTGATATGGTTTTTCTTAGTGTTTGGTATCACATGAAATTAGTACATCTTGTAATGGAAAGTTTTACAGCAAATGAGTAGAGCAGCTGGTGTGCAGAAACAAACCTTGAAATTGTACCATAGTATCAAAAACAAACAAAAAAAGAAAATAGAAGGAAACAAAAAGAGCAGACTGGTCTACTCTAAGAAAAAGGATGAGATACTCAATTCCTGGTTAGGTACTGAAATGTTTTGTGGTCTTGTATGAGTCCCTGTGTATTGTTCAATCTTTTTTTCCCCAGTTCAGGCATGGTTCTTACTGATCCATTGCTGCAGCTCTGAAGTCACACTGTCTCTCTCACTGATGCCTAATTCCTGCTGCTTCAAACTTGTTTAAATCTTGGCATGGTAAACAGCTGTAAATCACATGTGGCACAACTTGTATCTGGGGAGGTCTGAGTTCTGTGAAGAGCTCCCCTCAGCTCTGCCATGAAAAGCTGCAGAGCAAACATGCCCATTGTCAGTGAGAGCTGCAGCTGCCCCCAAGCCCAGAGGTGGTGCCCAGTATTAAAGTGCTGTGGGGCTCTGCTGTGCTGCCCCTTCCTGGAATCACTCAGTTCCACATGGACCATCTTTCCAGCCAGAATGTGCTGAGGATTCACGTGATTGCTCATTCACTCTAATGTTACCTATGTTTCTTAATTTCTTAATTCTTCCTGGTGTTCCAACCTCAACCTTTCAACCTTTGCTCAGCTGGCAAAGCACTTATCAACAGGTTGGCTCAGTTACTATCCCACTGTTCAAAGTCAAATTAGCTTTGCTTGCCACTAGCCTTAGCCAACTCCAGAAGGCATAAGTTCTTGTTATATTCTGAATTAATGCAAACTCTGTGAATTTCAAACTCTGGAACATACCTGATAAGTTTTCTGTTGAAGCTAGTTATGTATGAGGGAATCTGTAGGGAAAAAGGGGTTAAAAAATCTCTTCATTCCTGAAGTAGTTGTGCTTGCTGATAAGAAATCTTATTGCAAGGCCTGTGAACAGTACAGGGGAATATATATTTTGATACAATATTTCCTGTTTTCAAACATTTGTTTCTATAAATATAAGCTTATTACTTTGAGATTTTTAATAACCACAACATAATAGGTTTTACAAGTATAGCTAATTTATTCATAGATACCATAACAGTTTGAATTTATGTGAATTGGATGCTATCATAATCAGTCATCATTTTAGCTTTGCTGACAGAGATATCATAAATTATTCATGTTAACGTAAACACCCAGCATGTTTTCAGATACAGAACAATATGAATCTTGGTTAGTCTTGTAAAACTTAGACCAATCTCTTAAAATTCAAAGCAGGACATAGATGCTAATTCTATCATGTACATCTGATATTAATGGAAGATTTTAGATAGAGAATGAAGGTAAACTTTATTGAATAGATTTAGCTGAGAGATTATTTGAAATTCTGGTATTTAGTAGCATGAGACATGTTCCTTGATTATTTTGTGAAGCAGGAGTGAAATACAGAAATATTCTTAGAAGTATTAGGGTATGCTGAATTTCTTAATTCACAACGGAGATTATAACTCATATATTTGAAAATTAAAAAATTTTAATAACTCTCCCAGTCATCACATCTTCTAGAACTTTAGATGGAAGCACTAATAAGTACTAAAGTATTAATTATTTTGGTTGGGAAAGGTCAGGATTCACCATTTCTTCATAACTGCTCATATTTTGAAAGATTTTCATTTTAACAACCAGATTTGATGATTCTTGTTTCGTGCCTGCCACTTGTGTTACTCCCTTTTTATGGATACTGGTTAAGAGCACTTTGTGGGGTTTTTTCCTTAATGCTCTCCAGAAAAACACACTATCAACAGGAAATTCCAGTATACAGTACAACTTGTTCTTTAGGTCTGGGTGACATACCAGTCTTCCACATCTCTTATTTTGTAGAGATTTGATGATTTCCAATGTAACTACTTCTGTTTTTATGAGGTAGGATACATTTTTCTGGATTGCAGATCAGGCAGCCACTTCAGTAATGTAGTATCTCCTACAAGACCAATTTACAAGTAGCATATAAAATAAAATGTATGTGAAGTACAGGGTGCCTCTGAATAATGAAATTTGAGAATCTGAAAGCATGGCAAATCAGCTGACAATTGGTATTACTTTGGTTTTTGTCTTTGAAATGGAGGTGATGATGATGATGTGACCATGTAATGTTTAGGAAGCACATGTGCCTTTATGGAGAAAATAGCACTACAGTTGTTAAGTACTAATGTACTAATAGTGAAGCATTAGCAGAGAGTTCTCTCTGGATTTTGACCAAGATACAAAGAGATTTCTGTTAGTATTAAATTGCATGGGAGCTTAGCAACATCGATGAAATACCTGCTTTTATGTTTGGTAAACTTCCAGGTTACATCATTTATAAAGAGAAAACCACTTTCATTTGAAGACCAAGTGATCCTGACAAATGAAGCATCCCTTCAATAGTTCACTATTGTTTTTTCCTAAGTTCATTTTTAGCCTTGAATTGAACATTAACAAATGGTTATAAATTATTATCCATTTATCCATAGAGAAGCAAAGTGAATAGGCAATCTGGGCAGATGAGTCTATCTGTGCTCTTGGGTAGTTGCTGCCATTCACTTGCAATCTCACTATAGTTACCATTGTGAGCAAAATAGTCAATCAAATTTGAAGATGTAAAATAAAATTGAAAATTGAATTGGAAGGTAATTTTACTTTCAAATGGCTTGCAAATGTAGATGTTAAGTGTGAAATGAATGCAGTTAATGACCATAGCTGGAAGAGTTATGCACCTGCTGATCACAGGAATATTATTATAAATGAGGTTGATTTTCTTGTTGACCACCTCATTTTTCTCAACATGGTCTCATTACTTTTCTATCACATCTGACCCTTAGATATAAATACTCAAGCACAGACATAATAAAAATACATTAACTCCCATATAGATTTTTTAAATTCATCTTTGAAAATCAAGATGTGTGCTGCAGATGCTTCTTGCGATTGTAGGTTTAACATAAGTTCTACTCTTGGATAGCAGGAAAAAAAGTTGTGTGCCACCAAAAGTACTCTGGACTCATTTTGTAACTAAGAGATCTGATGTTCTAGCTCCCATTGTCTGAATTATTTCGGAAAAGAGTTTCTCCAGACCCTTTCTTTATTTTTATTTTCCAATAAGCAGTGTAATTGAAAAGTCTGAAAGTTACACTAACTCTTAATTATCTTCCTTCTCCTGGGAAATAAATTATTTTATAAAATTTTAAGGCCATTTTCTTTTTTTTTTTAATTTACCTGTTAGAATGTTTCATCTACTTCTGCCTGTGAAATACAAGTATTTTTATTATTTTAAATGTATTTACAAAAATAAATTACACTTCTTTAGGAGTGATTATATCTGAGCATCTGAGGTTTGCCCCTTCCTTATGGCACATCTGTTCTCATAAAAAGTCTTACTTTAGACTTATATGGCAGAGTCTGATATAAATGTGTCTTTTGATCAAAACAGATGTGTTCAGTGTTACATTCTGGAATGTAACTGAGTTGTAAATTTACCAATGGCCCTTCTATAAGCAAGGTTCTTATTTTTTCTTCATGAGGGAGAGAGATAAACCTATTCATATAGGAAAAAAATAATAAAATTTAAACATATTGAACTGATAGTATAGAGTGAACTTAGGTTTATTGCCAGTTGTTTGGAAATATGCATGACTTAATTCTAGGCTCTATTGCTCTGTTATAGCCTCATTTAAAGTGCCATTCTCTCTTTAGAATTATGCAGTTTGAGGTTCAGCAGGGATGGTGTTTTTGTTTCTCAGTACTCAGGTTATTGCAGCTGCCTGGTTGCTCAGCACAATTGCTCAGCTCTAAATGCAACCAGGAAATCCAGGGAGCTTCAAGCAACCATTGCTCCACTGCTTTGGACTTCTTTGCTGCACTGAATTTTAGCACTTCTGAACATCCAAGATTTAGAGTGAAGAGTTTCTGGAAACTAGATTCATAGGTTTTTCACCAAAGGCTTTATGGGAAGTAAAGTGAGGCTGGAATTATGCCTTAATCAAAGGATTGGCCATGTGGCCCATTTGTTGGTGATCTTCATGGAATTATTTCACATCTTGCTTAAACTTCTTCAAAAGTAATATCAAGCCCAGGCACCAGCACTGTAAGACACTTGGAAGTGTTCTGATGAAATCACTTTTCAAGGACTTGATATAATTTGTCCATTCATAAAAACATTTGCAGCTGATTTCAGAATCTCTCATGTCAAACAATACCAATAGTGAGGATATAATAGTTTTTTCTTGGCACAGCAGTGGGATTTCTGCTTTTCAAGTGCATGTGATTTATAAAAGGAACTGCCAGTCTTTAAAAATGAAACAGATAATGAGTCTTCCACTTTGTTTTCATTTGCCCACCCATGTTATGAGGATGAACAGATTAAAGGTCAGGTTATCTGCAAGGGAGAAGAAAGAATCCGCAAGTTCTGCAAAGCTGGTGAACAGTTTGCTTTGGGTGATGGTCTTAATGACTATGGGGGAACGAGAAGGTGCTTCTGTATTTTTATTGCCTATACTGGTATTTACATACTTTCAGTATACTTTGTACTGTCCTTGCTTAAACTCTCAAATTGGCAAAAATAACTAAAGTATGTAATTTGTCACAGAGTAATGTCCTCCTAAGTTGACCAAAGGAAACCTATGAATGTTTTGTGGTGTTATTCTTCAAATTTATAATTTCATTATTTAAGCTATGGGTAGTCCTTAGATAATGAAAAAGTGTTTTCAGTAATAAATTTTAAAACAAATCTACAGGACAGTCTTACTATTTTAAAGTAAAACCCAGCATTTCAATGATTATGGGTAATTACTTTTAGCAACACTAAGTACTGACAAAAAAGTTGTTTTTTATAAGTGTTTGTCATCTCAGAGGGACTGCTAATTACAGAGAAATACCCATCTGTTAGAAATAGGCTTGTTCAAAATAATAGGTAAATTAATCATTGTTTCCCCATAGATTAAGCATATTCTCCCAGACTGCAGCCTTTGAAGTAATATCTGTGCTCTGGAGTGTTAGGGGAGGACTGCTGGGGCCTGTCAGGGTTGTGGTGCTGCTGTGGTTTCACCCCAGGAAGCAGCTGAGCCACAGTGGCCCCTCTCCCTCCTGGGGAAGAGAATGCACAAGGATAAAAGTGCAAAACCTTGTGCCCTGAGATAAAGACAGTGTAATGGGGGGAGCAAAAGCTGCACATGGAACCAAAATCTAAACAAGGCATTTACTCCTTCCCGTGGGCCTGCAGATGTTCAGCCATCTCCAGGAGCTCAGGGCTTCATGCTCTGTAATGGCTGTGTGGGCAAACAAGGTAGCTCTGAGCTTCCCCCATTCCTTCTCCTTCCGCACAGTTCTTTCTGCTGAGCATGGCTCTGTGTTGTCTGAAACATCCCCTGGGTCAGGAGGCATCTCCTGTCCTGACTGTGTCCCCTCCCAGCTCCTCACACATCCCCAACCTCCTGCCTGGTGAGATGAGGTGAGGAGCAGAAAAGGCTTTGGCTCTGTGTGAGCAGAGCCCAGCAGCAGTGAAAACATCCCTGAGTTACCAAAAACACATCCCTGAGTGACCAACATCCCTGAGTTACCAAAAACACATCCCTGAGTTACCAAGACTGAGTTACCAACCTGAGTTGCCAACACTTTGGGTTGGTGCCTCCAGCACAAACCCAAAGCATAGAACTCTCCAAGCTGCCCTCAAGAAATTTAACTGGGTCCCAGCCAAAACCAGTACAGCTGCTAACAGGACTTGAAAGAAACAGAACATAAAAATTACCCTCTTCTTCAGTTTAAAGGAAACCTTTTTTTTTTTTTCTGTGACCATGGTTGTAGTCTGAATTTATTAGAAATGTTGAAATTCAGTGTCCTTGGTATCATTGTGAGATGACCTGAATAGTGAGCAATAAAATTCTGCATTATAATTCACCTTTGAAGATAAGTCCTTGTGAAGTAAAACAGATAGACAATGTATTGTGTTTACCTTAAGGCTGAAAAAAATCTATATGCAGTGACAGAGGCATTTTTAGGAAAAGAAAGCAAATAATGTTTTTCTAGTTAGCAGGCCCCAAGATAAGACAAACTTAAGGGGCCAAATACTTGTGATTATTAAAGGCTACTGGGTTCTTAGTTCATACAAATTGAATTCTTTCATACTCTGAAGGGCTGTGGAAATCTAGCAAGGAGTGTAGACTGTTGAAATGAAATTAGCATGTAAAGTGATTTTATATATGCAGGGATATAGCCACAAAGTTTGAATTGGAGAAAGAAATCTCATTACTCATCTTGTAAAAGTATTTTTTAATTCCATATTTGTTGTCACTGACATAAAGGTTTCTGCACATGAACAGGTTTTTTGTGATTTCCCAAAGATATTGGATTATTGAATTGACAAAGATCTGTTCCATTCTCTCCTGACTTTTCTTTTATAGGATAACTGATTTTGACAATATTAAAAGAAGATTGTATTTGTCAACGGTGCACAAGGAGTTGTCTGTAACCCCTCTGCATGCCAAAATTCCTCTGTTTATGATCAAGCGCAAAATAGTAGGTACCTTGGGAATGTTACTTGGACTGAGGTTGAAAATCTGAAATATTTTGTGTATATTATGAACTTTTTGGAATTATTGCTTCTTTAGAACTCAGCTCCTACTGATTGAAGATAATTAAAGATGCTTGTGTATGTCCCCTTTAACAGATGGCATCAGAACCACTCCTTCTTATATTAGGAATTCATTCTCATTTTACAAAATTACTGCTGTTTGTGATGTTTCCTCACCTCTCCTGTTGATCCAGCCTCTGTAAAATTCCATGTCCCTGATAGTGGTTCATGATAGTGCTCCTGCTCACGTGTCCCTTCTCCTGTGGTGACCTTTGGTGACATTCACTGGAGGTAGACTGCAGCTGATGGCTCCTTTCACATTCCTCAGGTTCTTCCAAATATAGAACAATCTCTGTGTCAAACTGATGAGAACAAAACAGAAACAATTTTCTTCTCCTCGTTCCCCTCTCCCAGCCACAACATATGGTTATAGCTGACAGGATATAAAGCCTGATGGTTACTGTGTAACCATGTAAGGATTGGGAGTCTCAAATAACTGCTTTAGAAAATAAACCTAACATGAGAATAGTTAGATTTCAAATATTTTAAAATGTATATTTGCAGGAAGAGAACTAGATAACAGTGTACTAAGCAGTTGTGAATTTAAGGCTAGACATGAGAGAGAATATTTTACAAAAAAAACTCTGAATTTATAACTTTTTTTGAGATAGGTTAAGTGAAAGCAGCTGTGGCAACTTAAAATTGAGAAGCTTTCTGCTTTGTGGGAAGAAGTAGTTGGGTTTTTTTTTTTTTAATGAATATGTATCAGATCATACCCCTGAAGTTGCTGTTAATTCAAAATCCAATGAAATGAAATTATTTTTCTTCAGTGTAATTTCTGTTAGTTGGTGTCAGACTAGTACAGGTATTTCAGGATTAACGTGTGCATTAATGTACATGAAGTTAAATTCAAGCAGAAGATGAACTTCAGTTATGAATTTTAATTTAGATAATAAAGCACGAATCAGATATGTCTAGATGCTCTGATCATTTATAATGACAAAATATTTTAATAACCTTAATGCTTGACCAACCTTAAAGAGTAGATCTATATTCCTGAGTGTATCTGAGTACATATCTGTCTCCCTTAAATGCTTCCCTGCCTTTTTATCATTGCTTTTGCTTAAAGGAGGGAGCATGCTCCTTTCAGTGATTAGATAGATCTTTTACATGGCTCTGATAGTTCAACTTACTGTATACACAAGCTGATTGTTATTATCAGCATGAGGGGTTGTGAAACAGGATATAAAATAAGTTGTTTGTTCCATCAGCAGAACAGAGTTTGCATTTTCACATGCTAGATTTCTGTATTGTATCCCTACAAATTATTCTGTTTCAACCTCATCACTAGAAATATCAGTTATAAGTAAGTACTGAATTTTTCAGTGCATTGCTTGGTGTCTTCAAAACAAGTATTCCTTTCCTTCCAAAATTTCAGATTTAAGACCAGAACAGTAATGTATGCACCTAAATTTTTTCTCAAAAATATTTGCTATTTGTGGATTAGAAGCTAATATTTCTACCTTGACTTTATAAGGAAATCAGGCATGTACAATCATTCTGGTTTTACTTTTCTTTTCCCTTAAAATTTCAACCATTGATCAGCTGAATTTTGCTCATGAGTAATCGTATAAAATGTATTACAGTTCTGCAAATTAAATGAAAATTGCTGCATTTCTACTCAAGGCCATCTATTTGTATAGAAGGTGTGTTAGCCTCAGCTCACGGATTTTACTAAAGAGTATTGTTTCTCTTTTCTAGTGGTGCAATATGTGTATTGACTTGGTAACATTTACCTATGAAATATTCAGAGGAGCTCTCTTCCAGTCCTTGGATGGAATTACTATTTCAGCCAACTGTAAGCTAAGAAAGGTCTTCACTTTAAAATTCAAGCCTCCAGTTACAGCTGAGGAAGATGGTGTGTTTTAATTACTGTCTAGTCTTAATCATAACTGTTCACGTTATAAAATCAAAAGTTTCTTATTCATCAGATTGGCAATTTGAAGGATTACATGATTTAATAAAAATTAAAGTGGTAGTGCAGCATATTAAGTCTGCGAGTGTTGGACTTAGGGCAACTAATTAAATATGTGTGTACTCCTGTGTTTTAAACACTGAATTCCTTAGAAGTTTTTTATTAAAAAATATTCTGGGAAGATTTATCAAGTAGAGAGCTTGTTTTAATGAGGGTGTCTGATGCTGATAGAAATCTGATTTTTGCTAGGAACAGAGTATCTGAGAGGAAAGAGAAGTACTGAAAACAGCAACATTTGCTGTTTGCTTTCTTAATTTTGGATGTTAGCAGCTGATGAAAGATTTCTTTCTGAAATAATGCAGACAAAATTGTAACAAAACATTATATGAAACAGAGCTATGAAACTATAATAAACCCCTCAGATCATGTCCAGTTATCCTAATGTGGCCTTGTTTATTGGGAAAGTAATCTTGGTGGTGAGCTGAAAAATAACAGGGTTTTTTGGACCCAATATTGGTCAAGTTTACCAGTCTCCAGACTCACATCATAATCCTGAATCATCATTTTCCAAGGAGAGAACTTCATTCCTCACTGGTATTTGCAGTAACACAGGAGAAATTTCAAAAGCACAGCTGGCACTTGCTTATTTTAAAGGCACCCTTAGGAATAACTCAGCTTCTATTTTATTCAAATTTTCATTTTTCAGCTTTTAAGGAACATACCTGAAAAACGTTTCTGGTTTCAGAAGGAGGGGTAGTTAGCAGAATTATAAGTGTAGCAAAATGTATTTTCCATTTGGAAACACTCAACCAATAGGAGAGAGTAGGCAAACGTTGTGATTACTCCTCTGATTTTTTGTTGGTAAGACTGGAAAAAATATTAATTAAAAATGTCTACAGAGAGAATATGGTAAATTCTCAGCAGGAAACTGCAGTTCAAGCTCTCACTGGCATTCTTTTAATTTAATTCCATTGGTGCATTGTTTTTTCCCTTCCACTCTAAACAGCTTCTGAAATGTGCTTAAATATTCTAAATGAGTTCCAAAATTCTAAAATGCAGCTAACATAATGAGTAAACAGCTTTAATAAACTGTAAGCATACTAAAATATTACACTTTTAATTACTTCATTATCAATTCTATGATTATTACACAGCTGGTGGGCATTAGTACTTTCTGTATGCTTTTGAATTTCCTTATCTAGGCAAGAATATAGAAATATAATTAGAATATAGAATATAGGAATAGAATCAGAATCATGGAATTGTTTAGGTTGGAAAAAACCTTTAAGGTCTTTTGTGTCCAGCTGTTAAGCCAGCACTACCAAGGCCACCACTAAGCCATGTCCCTGAGATCCCCACCCACTTGGGTTTTAAATACCACCAGGAATGGTGACTCCACCACCCTGGGCAGTCTGTTCCAGGGCTTGACAACCCTTTTGATGAAGAAAGTGTTCCCATTATCCATTCTAAACATCCTCTGGCACAACTTGGGGCTCTTTCCTCTCGTGTTGCTGCTTGTTGCCTGGGAGAAGACACCAACACCTACCTCTGTACAAGGTCTGCCTTCAGCTTCCTTTTCTCCAGGCTGAACAACCCCTGTTCCCTCAGGTACTCTTCTAAATTTGTTCTCTAGACCCATCTTAAATTTTCATTACAGCGGAAGGTTTGGCTGTATTTAAATGATTCCATACTTCATACCCAAGTGAAGAAAAACAATAGTAATTTTTTAATTATTAATTAAGTTTCATGTAACAATTACTCTTTAATAAAGCTTTTTCCCTCTCAGAATGACTGGACCAGTTGAGCCCCACTGAATGCAGTGGCATTCCAGTTTGTATTGAGAGTTGTGCTTTAACCTTGGCCAGCACTTAAGCAGCACACAGTCCCTGCCCTCATTGGGTTGGGGGAAAGAAGCAGAAGGGTAAAAGTAGGAAAATGCATGGGTTGAGATAAGAACACCTTAATGCTAAATTGTTATTACAAGGGGGAAAAAAGGTAAATAAAACCCAAGAAGGGCAATTGGTTTTTATCTGCATAATTTGTTTACCACCAGCAGCTGCCCCCAGTCAGTTTCCCCTCTCACTGAGATGCTGAGCACACTGCCCTGTGGTCTGGAATATCCCTGGGGTCAGCTGGGGTCAGCTGTCCTGGCTGTGTCCCCCCAGCTTCTTGTGCCCCCTGCCATCTGCTGCCCGGCAGGGCAGCTTGGGGAGCTGGACAACAACTCACACTCCAGTGTGTCATCAGCTCTGCTCACATGCCAGATCCAACACACAGCCCTCCACTATCAGAAACCAGGACAAGGGTTGAGCTCTTTGCTTCAAACTCCTTGGTGTGGTGGAAGAATTGATTTCAAGGTGCAATGAGTGTGTTACTCTTGTCAAGTAGCAAGTATACAGTATGTTTTGAATTTTTAAAATGACAGTAAATGCAAAGGGGAAAACCACATATACGGAGAAATTATTTCTGTATGAGATCATTGAGATAGAAGAAGAAATACTTCATCTCTTCTGCCTCATGACACTGAAGCACACAAGCTTAAACTATACCTAGTTTCTTGTTTCCATAGTGATGCAGAACTTATGTATGAATTTTATCACTAAGTATTGCCCAACAGTGATAAATAATGTACTGGCTTGGCAAAAAAAAAAAAAAATTGAAAAAAATATGTCCTGCACTGAAATACAGCATGGGACATTTGATTTTTTTATTTGAATCTCAATATTTGATCCCTTATTCATGTTTGGGTTTCAAGTTATGTTTTCCTCTTCTTTTCCTTGGAAAATAGGCTAATTCATTTGCTTATTATATTCAAGTCTTCTAAAATTTGCAATTAATTTGTGTTGGAACATCAGGAATGGTTCTGACATTGATTCCTTTCTTTGCAGAGAGCAGCTTTCATAAACTCAGTCTATATTGGTTATCAAAGGGAAAGCAGAGATAATCAGCTCACATTCTGTCATGCCTGGTGTCACAAGAATACATAGGTTGACAGCTTTTTAGTTTATCTGAAAGCATAATGGAGTCCAAAGTTTGGAATTAAAGCTTGTTAAATTCTTTATTTGCATATATGGGACTTTGCTACTTCAGTCCCACAGATATGAATACCATATTTAGCTGTTCATTTTATCTGAAAATCACTGTATCAGTGTTACAATTAAAGCTGAATTGTAATAAAAATTAACAAAATATATTTAATGATTGTTTTGTTTGCTTTCTTGACAAATCAAAGTTGATTCTCTATGCTACTCCAGCCATTAGTGTTTATTTCTTTAACTGTATTCAAAACTTTTGGCCTAAAAGTATACACAATATAATTTTAAAATTTGCAATAAAAAGTGACCAATTGCAGCAATTTTTTCAAATTACCATAATCTATTTTATATATACTTTAGTTCATAATCATATGAACTAAAGTATATGTAATGTACCAAATAATGCAAGTCCTATTGAATTCCATGGTGTCATGAAGTAAAGCCCATGTTTTCTGTTTCTAGGTACATCCATTGTTACACCTGGGCCATATGAGGTCTCAGATGATATTCCTCCAACCTGCCAGCTCAATTCTGATGTCCCACAAGTTACACAACTGCTGGATCTAAATGAAATTCACAAGCCAAAAACAAAATGCAGGGAAAAGGCATTGCAAGAAACAGGTATTCTGTTGTATTAAAATACTGTGAGTACAATCCATACAGTGTGTGTGTAAACAATTGATTGTTTTGTAAATGTCCATGTTTAGAGTTCCAATGTCTTAAAATGACACCTGACAACTCCTGCACACCTGTAGTGCCTCAAGCACACAGACACATGTGATAGTTATAGATGTGACACATTCTATAGTTTGAGATCTTTGTGGAGCCTGAACAGTTCTAATTCAAGCATGAGATTTATAACAATATATTTACAACAATATTTGAGATGTCATATGAATGTACATTGAAGCATTTTGCAGTGAAGTTGTTACACTTCTTTTTAAAGTATGTTCACATCAATGAAACTTTGCTGGCAATATGTGTATGCAGTGTCCTCAGCTTTTACTCTGAAAAGGGAAATCTTGTCTTATTGGTATCTTGTCTTATTTGAATGTTTCTTTAAGCTACAAAATAATGAACCATGTAATTTAGACTTTAGCAGCATTGCACTGAAGAGATTTATTAAAGAAGTTGGGCAGTGGTGTGCTACAATACAAGCTATTGACTTGGATAAAAGCTAAGAGAAAGCAAAGAAAGGATTAAATTTAAAATTATTGTTACAGCTGAAGGCTAACAGCAGGAGACCTAAAAAGCTTTTGTTCTAGTCTCTGTATTGTTTATCATAGTTATGAATAATCTCAACAGAGAAGCAAATAACAGGGGAGCAAAATTTTGTTATGATACAGATACTGGTTTAATAAAGAGTGGGACTTCAGAAAGTTTTAAGCTTTTTAGATAGTAAATCCCATATTTACTTTTTCCTGAAGAACAAAGCAGGTAACATGCAGGAAATATCACAGTTTTCAAAGCAAGGTTTATTGGTTTTATGTCTTGTGGCCACTGTGTTGAAAAATTATGGTCTAGGTACCATTGTAGGGGGTAAATGTGGAACATGATATCACATAAAATCTAGCTTTGCTAAATGCAGAGGATTCTGCAGTGGGGAGGAATTATACCTACAGTTAAGCTTCAGAGGATCAAAATTAAATGAATCAAGGCTGGCAGGTTATCATCACCAGAGATACAGCTCAGTAGAACTTTCAGATTTTAATATGTTTTAAAAAACTAAGTAGCAGGAAATTCAAATTCATAGGAAATGAAAAAGGTATCAAACCTTTAAATAATTTTTGCATTATTATCTGAAATACTTAATACATTATCAGCTAAACCATCTCAGAAAATATCTTACAGACCAAGAAGTGATTCAGGGAGAAGCAGCATGAATGATAATCTCTCACATAAGATATGCTGAAAACATTAAAAATCTACATAAGGGCATTTAAAAAGTAACCAGTGATACAAAGGATGTTCAATAAAAGCTGTTTTTCTTATCTCGTAGCACAAAAACAAGACATCATTTGATGTGATGTTGCAGTTGAAAATTAAAAACTCATAAAAGAAAATGCCATGTTACACAGAATATGATTAAAATATGGAATCTACTGCTAAAAGAGGCTGGTAAAGAAATTGGTATGATTCCAAAATCAGTTGCCAATTTATATAGGTAACAGTAATGTTATATTTAGCAGCAGTAAAAATGTAAAGAGAAAATTCAATTTTGTACTTCTGTTTTTCCTACCTTACACTAAGAACTGTGTTGAAGGCAGATGATTTCAAAAGTCCATACTGAATTATCTCGTGCTATTTCTGAAGTGTTGGGTTTGGCCTTTGGAACTGAATGTTACAGAGATTATTGGCCTGTTCTAGACCAGCATTTCCTGTGTTTTTATGTTTAAGTTGGCATGTCTGCTTCAGTAAGATCTGCAAGCCAAGAATCAGTAGAAACTGAATTGTATATACAAATGCCAAGATGTGAAATTGCTTAAATAGAGGGTCAGACAATTGAGAGCTTTTTAGTAAAGCTGCTATTTTGCTTTAAAACTGTGTATTGCTTCCTACCTGCAGTAAAGTCAACAGCAGAATTTCACCAAGGCAAATATATTTCCAGTCCTTATTGTCTTGATTCAAAGTACTGATTATCTCTTTAAAGCAATTTTGTAAAGAGATAGATCATCATTATAAAACAGCAGTATAGAGAAACATAGATTATTTTCCAATTATTATTATTGGAAATCTGGAGTTTTAAAATTTTTCATAAGTGGTGGTGGTCTTCCATCCCACCTTATAAGCATAGCATGTGCCCTTCCAGACATGTTTTTTAAATTTCAGAAGTTGGCCTGCTTGAAATTGGAAGTTTTGGTATGCTTAGGTACATTTTAATTGGAAAATCTTCCTTTAATCCACTACACTTTTTTGTTTATTTGATAATCAAAAGCCCAAGTTATTTTTAGTATCACCCACTTTTAATTACACATATTATTTCATTATGTCATCAACACACTGTTATGTGTAGATGTAGGTAATTAATTGCAGTCAATTAATGTGGTCATTAAGAGAGATTTTAATGCAAATCAGCTTTTCTAATTGGAGCTAACAACATCCCAAGGTAGCCAGTAAAAAAGAAATTGATGTTAAACCAAGACAGGTCATCTGATCTTGTGAAATGGCAGCTGTTAACAGCAACCAAATGTCACATCAGGAAAAGAGTCAGGTAATGGCAGCAAGGAGCTTCTTCTGTGCTTATTAGTACAGTAAATGATGATATTGGTGGCTAATGTATGATCTGTTTTTCATTTCCTTGATGACACTGTAAATAAAGCTGATCTTGAAATAACGTTATGAACAATGCTCAGGGGAATCGGCAGAATATTTTGTTTCTACTTTATTGCTTTATGAAGGTGTCAAATCTCTAAAGTGAGATAGCAATTTAATACAAGTTGTAGCAAGAAAATATCTTTGGACATTGTAAATATTAAATATAAATTAATGTGAAGATACCATTTTTATCAGCTCTGGAAAGGAGAATTCACTGACAATATTGGAGAATTATAAAAGGAAAATAGATAGTACGTGCAGCTCTGCAACCCTGATGGTAAAATTAATGTGTAACCATTTTACTGTCCTTCCTTTTTAAATTTTTTGGAGAACATTCACCTGCATTACATGTTTACTTTTGTCTTGAAGACTGGTTGGCAATTTCCATGCTTTAAAAGACTTATAAAAATAAATCTACAGTTTAAGCAGTAAAAAAACCCATAAATAGTAATAAATATTTTAGCAGCAATAGAGTGCATTTGCAATATTAGGGCTCAGCCCTGGTAATAGAGTAGATTCAGTAATTTCAAAAAGCAGGGTACATGTAAATAGTTCTCTGAGCTGAGACTGATACCTTGACAGTCTTGCCTTCATTTTTTTTGTGTTATTATTTATTTATTCTGTTATTTATTAATTAGAGTTCTTTTTTCTCCCTGTCAGAAGTTAGATTTTCATTGAAGTTCTAAAGAAATCCTGCAAACCAATTTTTTTTGTTGTTTATAAATAACCCACTTTTAAATAAATCTTTAAAGCAAGAAGATTAGAATTATGTCTCTATAATAGACCAAAAGTTTCTTGCTGATATGTTGACACACTTGCACACAATGTGCATTTGCTATTCCTATATTTCTAGGGAGTGCACTTTAAAGGCTCATAACGCTCAAATATGTTTAGTATTCATAATTTTTTTCTTTTAGTTGATTCTAGAAAAAAAGCTACTTTTTATTGTTTGTAGGTACTGTAATTTTTTTTAACTCTTAATTTTCTTAACTTAGGTATTCTGGGTAATAGAGGCCAAGGCAACACATGCAATGGTAAAACTCAGGATGTATCACATATTGCATTTGGGTCAAAGATCCTTGGGCCACCTCCATCTTCAAACAGAAGAACCGATGCAAAGGTACCTGGCAAGGTAAAAGGGCTAAATTCCAACCACACCATGGCCCTTTTGCAAAGGAAGATATTGATAAGGAGAGGAGTTAAACTAAAGGTTTATTCCAGAGGCTGCCTCCAGAGAACTGGGATAGGTCCCAGTGCCAGAGATCCTGTAACACCCAGAGGAGGGCAAGGGAAATGCAAGGGTGGCTCCAGCACAGGGCATGGGTATATTGATCCCACAGGAGAGGAGGCCAAGGGGAAATCTGGTTGCTGTTGTCAGTGAATGTGGGGCTGTAGAGAGGCCAAACCTCTTCTAAGGGGTGCCTGAAAGGCCAAGGACAGCAGGCTCTAATTGCAGGGAGACCCTGACTAAATACAACAAAGTGATTCAGTACTGCAACTGAGCCACAAGAGAGTGGAGAATTTCAAAACTTAAATGAAACAGGCTGATTCAGCATCAGACATAAAGATGCCTCTTTCTAATGAAATTACTCTTACCATTCTTTTCTGATTTTTTTTTCTAGATTGCTGAAATTTCTCTCTGTGTGTGTGTGTGTGTGTGTTTGTGTGTGCAAATATTTTTCCTTAGGATGAGAGCCATAATGCAGAGCAGAAATTATATTTCAGGACTCTCTGATAGTCAGCCTTACAGTAGCTCCTGGCAATTACAATGCCAGGGAAAACACCTGATCCCAGTCTGCCAGCAACAAATATTCAGGTTTTTGGAATCTGATCAGGACTACAGTTTTCAGTTTAACACTGAGAATAAGGGATCCAGCCAACTCTTGTGTAGGAAGTCACTTGAAAGTCAGGTTGTAAAATGATATTCCTTTCTTCAAAGAAGAAAATACTCCTGAGGTCCAGAATAACTATAAGTTTTAGTCTTTTTATTCTGATAGTGAATTCTAATTTTTTCCCTTTTCTTTGCATTGTTCCATTCACTCAGTGGAAAAAAAACCTCTGCTTGCTACTTGACTATAAAGATTGAAGATACCACACTGAATAGAGCCCACCGTGAGGTTTTGTGAAAAGATACTGTTTAAAAAATATTTGGAAATATATATTTGGAAAAAAAGTGTAATTCATAATCTGTGTTTTACCTTTGAGTATTTTGAAAGCTGTTATATTTTTGTCTTTCATCAAGAAATAATGTCTTTCAAGGTAACAAAGACCTTGGGTAGCAAAACATCGTGCCAACTTCAAAATTCAGGAACACCAACTGAAACCATACCAGAAAATGAGAGGTTGGAGTCACCACTGTGGCCATGCAATGATACTTTAGATCAAGGAGGCAAAAGAAGTACTCTCCAAACACCTGCAAATGAATATCAAAACAGTAAGAGCATAAAGCAAAGCATATGTAGACTTTTCAAACGGCCAAATTTTTGCATGATTGTGCCTTTGAATCTAGGACTTAATTCTTTGTTTTTCTAATCCTTTATCTACTTAATTAATTACTGAAGACATATTCATTAAATCATGATTTATTCTCCTGTATGAGGGTGAATAAATGCTCATTCTCTCTGCAGCTATTTGTGTTGTGAGTGATTGAGCCAGGGATCATCACCTGCTGGCAGTACCCACAATTTATACACATGCTCCTCTTTCCTCATGCTGTGAAAATAACTGAGCTGCTGCCATGGTTCTTGGTTGTTTTGCAGACTTTTGCAAGCCTGTTTTTTATAATTACTATGGTTTGCCCTTCTTCCATAGCTTGTGTTAAATTTTTCCTTCCTTGTGGCTGCCCTGTTCCTGCTACCCTGCAAGATTCCCATGCTCTTTAGATGTTTGCATCCCAGTACAATGCCCCATATGCACACAATATGAGTCTTCACAGGCATTCCATTTCTGCATTGCATTTCAGACCCTGAAATTCAGACTCTGACAACACCTGTAAGTGGAGAAGCAGATTTTCAGCTCACCTCACCACAAGTACCATCGCCAGACAAGGACAGTCATATAAGATTATCTCCAAAAAATGCAGCCAAAGCCACATGGGAGATAACCAATGGTATGGTACTCATTTTATGTTATTTTACATTTCAGTTCTATGTGGTCTGAAGGAATGTTGTAAATTTCAAAGGACCCAAAAGCAGTTCATATAAAAAATAAACATCTGTGTTGTGGGGATTATGGAAATCAAGCACCCTGCAACAGAATTGCTTTAGAGCGTTGATAAAGATTTGCAGGATTAAGCAGAGTACCAGAGCAGTGAATGAATATCAAAAGAAAAATTCCATGCTCTCATGATTAAAGGAAAAGAACTAAAAAAAATTTATTCTTTAAATCCCTAATAAATTTAACACTGAAGATTCCAAATATGAAATGTACAAGAAATTTTACTTGTCCTAGATAAGAGTTTAGAATATTAACTACAGTACCTATGTAATATCACAAGGGGAGGGGAGAAAGGAGGGGGAAAGGGTTGATTTGTTTATAGAGTTCAGTGGTGAGTTATTTCTTGTTATTCACAGAAAGACACCTCAGCTTGCATTTTGAGTTTTTTCCCTTTCTCTGAGTTTTTTCCCTCTCTTCCAAATTTTTTTTTTTTGTCATACATTATCTACTTCCTTTGCATGAGTCTGGGAATTGCATTCTTGGGGCAAAAGTATCCCTTGTCTCTATAAAAAGTAGTATTACTTTTTATTAGAAGGCATAGTCACCAATTTGAAAAGTGGTTGGACGATTCAAATGTGCTCAAAATTGACCAATAAGATTTTCCTTCATATTGTGAGTGATTTCCTTTGTGTTTATTCTTTGGGGATATTTAGAAATTATTTTATACTCTGGCAGTTTCAGTAATTCATAATAGCTATTATGGGTTCCATAATTTGACTGAAAGAGATCCAAGATGTTCAGGCAAATAGAAAAGTCTTCTGGAGAATTTTTTCATTCCTTCCTATTTATGTCAATTTTGAGAAACCTGGGGCAGGAATCACTATCTTTACTTTGTTTTCATCTAGAACACCAAAACCTCTATTGAGTGACAGAATTTAAAAAAATTAATCAACACTTATTATTTTATGAAAATATAGGTGATATGAAAATACAGCTTTAGGGCAGTAGGCTGGCCTGTCTGAATGTCCTCATAAATTCAGAGGCAGAGAACTGAGGAAGAAAGATGTGTGTAAACTCTGCTCTTTGCTGTTTGAATGTCAAAGAATGAAAACTGTTTCTTTATAATCTTAGTTGTGTGTACAGACAGATAAATGCATTATGTGTGTTGGTAAGGTGCAGTTCTACAAATTTTTTCCCTGTATTTTCATTGCTTGTCACTGTTGTCACTCTCAGTCTGCAGATTTCTGTCTTTTTCAGTATATGAAGTTATCTCATTTTACATAGATGACTTAATGATTTCTTTATCAATTAGTACTGGATTTGTTTTTTCTGAAGAACTTCCTATAAGGAACTTCTTCATCAGCAAAGTCCCCTTCTAGGCTTTGTTCTGGACATCTTCCAAAGTGGGATAAACTTGACCTGAGAGAAGAGATAAAATGAATAAACACTGTTTATGCCAATCTTATTTACTCAATGCTGAAGCCTTCATTATAATGTTAGGCTGTGATTAGGAGCTTTAGCATAAGTCTGACTGTGTAGAAGAGCTAATTAGATGTTAAGGTGATCATTCTTGCATTTATGTTGTTTGCTGCAATATTGTGATTACGTAGTAGTTTGCATATTTTACTCAGAATGTACTCCAAATTATTCATTACAATTGACATGGAAATTATGAGTTAAAAAGAAATTCTAACATAGTTTTTGTTGGAGAGGTAGAGGGATTTTGTTTAGTCCAAAACTCCCAGTATCTTTCACTTGTATTGAAAGACTGCTACACTCACTACAGGTTACAGAAGTTCCTGAACTCTGTAACCAGCATAAAATGTCATCTTCAAATCATACAGACTTTTTGCCTGCCCTGTGGATATTTCATTAAGAATAATTACTGTGCTGTGTGAATGAATGTTTGGGTTTGACTTATTCCTAACTCAAGCATATTTCTTCAACTCTAGAAATCAATGTAGTTCTTTACAGGGTGGCTTAGACTAAAAAAGCAGAATATTCAGGCTAATATTATAGAGATATTAATAAATTTAAAGTAGTTCTTTGTATTTCTGAACTCGGTCTGGGCAAGACATTATAATGGTGACTAAAGTGTAAGAAATTTTTGGATGCCTGAGGCAGAGCCAGGATTACTAGTCAGGAGTTTAAGGCTCTAATTGGCTCATGTTCTCTAAACACTTGATAAAAACTGTTGATCTAGGATTTCTTTTGCATGTTTTGATACTTCATTCAAAATTGACTTAACCTCTTAAAAAGCAAGTGATTCATCACATTGTTTCCTTCAGAATTCATTACACAATTTTATCTGTAACGCCCTCTACAAATTAAATAGCAACAACTGCATTGGAAGTTATTCTAGAATGAGAACAGAACAGGTGAGATTGGGGGAAATGGGTTGTTGCTAAGTCAGTAGGCAAAAATATTAAGCTACCCCTCTCTATGCTTTCCCAGTTGTATGTGCATAAGAATTAGTGAATTCTCCTGGAGTGGGTTGTACACTAAGTGTATAACCATACCCCAGAGGGCTCTGCACAGTGGTCTGAGCTATTAGTGCATATTTGTAAACCACAAAGGCAGCATGAGACATGTCAAATCTAATTTTATCATGGGGAAAAGACCTTCTGAATACTGAAGGAGTTTATGTTATGTATTTTGATGTTAGTCTCAGCACCGACAGGGAAACCTAATAAAATGTATCTAGATTAAACTGGAAGGGTTGGTGCCAGACTGGAAAGAAGACTGCAAAATGCTGAAATAAGAAAAAATATAAAAAATTTCTTAGCTAGGTAACTTTTGAAGATTGTTTGTTTGTTTGTTTGTTTGGATAAATGCAGCAAGTAAAAAATTTAAATTTTTGCCTTAGGAAAAAGGGTAAACATCATTTTAGACTTAGCAACCAAAAAAGCTGGGGAAAAGATTCTTCACATCCTGAAGAGTTGTCGAGTTGCAGTTTGGGGATAAGTAATATTTTTGTATCATTTCTGTATAGCAATTTCTGGAACTGTGAACAAGGCATCTCTCCAGGTCCTAAAACTTTTAAAACAATCTAAAAGAATCAGTCTTGATGGGCCAGATTCCTACAGAATAAATAATTGAATAATTGAAAATACTGATTTAGTGTGACAGAATTTTTCAGTCATGTTAGGTCACAGAATCAGTTGAGGAAAAAGCAGTTCCTGAGTCTTTGTCCTTGAACATCCAAAGACTGTGTTCAGCCTCACTTGAAAAGCTCATGAAAATATCCCTCTTTTCATTTCATTTTTATAGGGTAAATGGTAGCTTAATAAAGGTAGCTTATATAGATGTAAAGTATACCGAAAGCATAAAATTGTGAAATGTTCATGACTGTGTTTTCTCTTAGGATTTCAGTTGTTTTATTTGTGTACCACCCTTCACATGTAATTCCAATTGCCTATAAAAATGCTTTATCAGAGGGATGTGACACAATCTTGAATGAAGTAGACTGGAGAATTCTGCCCCAACACCCTCCTTTGAAAAAGCTGTAGTTATAGATACAGAACTAAAGCTGTAGTTATAGATACAGAACTAAAAATCATTTGGTTTATTCATTGAAGGGTGTTTCCTAGAAGTTTTGAGTAGTCTCACTCATTTCTTGATGCTCTTTGAAAAACTAGTCCAAAATATTTATAAAATAAATGGAATCACTTGCATGTTCAGCTTTCAAGGCTTATAATAATTAAAACCAGAATCCACTACATTGTTTTAAACCAGAAAGATTTTCTAATAGAATAAGAGTTTACTTGAAAAGCCTTGGGAGTTCTGACTAAAGATGGTCTTCATGAGGAGATTGAAAAATGGTATTTTCTGGAACAAGAAGGGGCAAGCCATGGCCATATAAGATACATCAAGTCCCAACCTTCCCCTGGTTCCTGGATATTAACTGGAGTTTGGTAGCTTTACTGTCTGTCTTCAGTAAACTGGAAAAATCACAGCAGCGCAGTAAGAAGACAGCTGTTTCTCCTGGCATCTCAGTCTTCTTTCTTTTGCCTTCATTTATGGTGATTCAGACTTCCTCCCACCCTCTCACTACTCCCCAGCTGCTGAATGTGCCTGAAGTGGTAATTCTAACAAAACTAAAAGTAAAATATTACAGTAAAGCACAAAATACCCTTCTAAATTTACTATCTTCTGTGGTGGCAAGCACTTTATTATTGCAATGCTGCTTTATTATTACATTTTTAGTATTTTTTCATTGGGTTTTTTTAATATGGTTGATGGTATCTTTGTTTTATGGAGCTGGAAAGTTTCAATATCTAGTGAATAATCCACACCACACTACCTTTAATGAAGATAAGGGAGTATTGCATACTTGAGCAATTCTCCTTTTCTTAGATGCTATTTGAGATTGGTTGTAATCAATCAAATTGACATTTTTTTTCTATACCATCATTCCAAACAGTAAAATATAAGTTAACAATAAGAACATAAAAATGGTCTTTTCATGTGTATCTGGTGCACTCAATCTTTAACTCCATTTCTGTAGTTTATTGTTTGTTTTAAAATTGTTAGATTAGTTGTGGCTGTATTCAGGGAAACCTGGTGAATAAAGATATCTTTATACATTTTTCATGTCACACTTTTTTATCAGAACAGTAGTTTGAAATTGAGATTTAAACCATAAGTTCTGAATGTAAAAGTGTGGAATTTCAGCAGTAAAGAAGGAGCAGATTGTATTATTATGAACTTTCCACCAATGTGTTGTTGTTTTTTTAAATGTCAGATACAAAAAATGCCTTTAGAAAAAGATCAATGGCCATATTTAATACAATCATGCTCTCCTAGAATAAAATTCAGTTATGGGTTTCAAATCTTCATGGCTAAACAGTTTCAGGTTTACATGTCCTGTACCAAAGCCTATGTACTTTTTGAGCTCTGTTTAGAAATTTTATTAGCTTTGCACTTTAAAGCAACCTGATCTTTTTCATTGCATCCTCATCACTCTTATTCTTCTTTAATAGCAAAATATTTCTGTATTAGAAAAACTTAGTTTGCTGTACAACTTTCTGAGAAAATGAGAATGATCAGAGTAGCTGACAATTCACATATTTTGGCATTGTAATTGTGTGTTTCAGATACATGGGTGTTTCCAGAGAGGTTCACTGAGAGCATTCAGTTGGATAGCAAGGAGCACTTTGAAGCTACTGCAAGTTCAGCCTGCTGTGATTTGCACTTGGAAGCTACTGCAAGTTCAGCCTGCTGTGATTTAGATTTACCCTCAGCCCAGAATGCCTCTGTTGAACCTCCCGGCAGGGAAACAGCTGATCACCAAAGGAGTAAGAAAGAGGTTTTCACATTTTCATCCAGACCTCGATCACCTCCTTACGGAACATCTCCCAACATATCCCCAGAAAGTTCCATTTCCCCACTGGAGTTGGAGCCCGACGGTAACGGAGAACAGGAGCAAACCAAAACTGAAGATAGCTTTGAGCAAACCAAAACTGAAGATAGATTTGAAGGAGCTGACAGCAGCGAGGAGGTAGGCCACCTTGTGCATGTGACTCCTGATAAAGCCTAGAATCCTCAAACGCCTAGAATGAGATTCTGTCTTCAAGGCAGACAGAGAGGATAAATCATCTTTTCCCCATACACCAACGGGTGGATTTGTCTCTGTCAGGTTGCTGTGTCAAACCAGGACTCAGAGCAGGTGTACCCTGTGTAACAAGTTGACAAAAGAAACTTAGCTCTGTCAGCCCCTATGCTAACAGAGATGCCACAACTGTGCATTATTACAACAAAAAAAAACAAACCTGCATCATAGATCTGAGTGAGATCCAAGTCCTTTATGGTTGCTCAAGACTTCAGTAAATAAGACTTCATTGCGTTTTTTTAAAACTGCAAATGGAGACTGGTTTTGCTTATTGACATTGCTGAAAAGGAATTACAAAATTCCAACTTTTGAATGTCACTTGATTATTGGTATTTCTGCTGCATATTCTGTCTGAGCATCACCAACTTTAATTCCTTTGCAATGTGGAAATCTTCCAGCAATGAAGTTAATGAAAGAAAACAATCTTTTAGTATACCTATCTAGTATAATTTGATACTATGTAGAAATTTGCTGAATTGTCAATGTATGCAATAATTTCATTATGTCATTACAGTGACTGCTAAAGTTCCTCCTTTTATGAACATTCTAGTATATTTCACTTCTATCTATAAAATCTGTTTCTTACCATTTGAATCTGCAGCTCACAGCAGAGAAATAAAGTGTAACTGAGTTGCATAATAGCAAGATGCGCTGAATTTAAGTGTTTTACAAAATAACTGAGAGAATCAAACTATAAATTTCCAAAATGTGTACCATTAATAAAACTGAGGGATTATCTTCTTGAACATACATTTCATGCTGTGTAATCCTGGACTCACTGAAGTCAGTAACAATCTTGGATGGCTTTCATGTGCAGCAGGATTGCACCTCAGCTGTGAGAGGCGCTGCAGGTGATACTGCCTGACATCCTCTGTGGGAACATATGGCAGATCATGAGATGAGGATGAGGCTGCTCTCATCCTTTCCTTCTTGGGAATAAGAACACTGAGGCTAACACTAGATGCACTCCTGCGTTATTTCTCTTTTCATCTGTTCAGTCCTGCTGATTGCTGTTGAGATGGGGTATGTGTGAACATCATACACTTGATTCATGGGATATTTTGCAGGGACTTTGTTAGAAGCGTGGATATAAGGTTAATAAACTAACCTCTAAAATTCTTAAATTGTATTGAAATGGTAATGAATATGATATCCAGTACCATATGATTATCAGAGCAGAGCAAAGTGATCTCAGCAGGAGTTACTGCTTCTACATTTAAGTTGAAGATGCAGTGTGAAAATATGAAATATTAATAATTCAACTGAAAGACACTATCATGGACACATTGCTTAGTTTTGGTTTACAGCTGTAATAAATTCTATTGAAATTATAAATGTCAGGTAAGACACAGGTCTTGGATGTTACCAGCATTCAAAATCTGACCTGACATTTTGAAAAGTGTAATCAGCTTCAGATGTAAGAATATGTTTATGGTATAGTCAGTGTATTTGCCAGGAGAACCAGCTGTTTTTCAGAATCCTTGTAAATTTAGAAACAGGAGGCAGAGATTAAAGAGAGATTTTGAAGTGTTAAGGTTATGTAAAACTGAACTGTTTTGATAAGAGGGAACCAACCACTCTTGCTTTGTTTCCTAAATTTAGGGTGACAACAGTGAACTCATCCAGAGTGCTGAGAACATTGAGAACAGCCACAGCAGACAAGGAACACCTGATTCAGCAGTTTTTAAAGAGATGCCATTAAATAAGATGTCACAGGGAAATGAATACTGGAAGAATAAGGAACACAGCAAATATAACTTCGAAGAGGCCGTCTTATCAAAACCACAGAGTTCCACCATGACAAAAACAGAATCTATTAGCTTTCAGAGAAGTTTAAAGCCTATCCTTTCTCTTTCTCCAATTCAAAGTAAATCCAAATCCTTTAGAGTAATTAGAAATGTATCTGAAGAAACTGAAAGATATGAAGGTTTTTCAGATCAATTCGAAAGATCTGTCAGTAAAACATCTCTCAAGAAAGTTTCAAATGGAAATTCATGTCTGACAGCACAGACTTTTGTAAGTGATTTTTACTTTGAAATTGAATTACTAGATTGTGTAGAGAAGCTATATTAGATATACCCATTTGCATGAAGTGATTAATAGTACATCTTTCATTCTGATGTATTCTGGCTTCATCATAACTGCATTTACTCTGCTCAGTCTGTTGAAAGTTGATTTTGTAGGGGTTTGTGGAACACAAAATCATACTCCAAACAGAACAGAAATCACAAAGGTTTGTAGATAAAAAGATGTGTCACTGAGCAGCTCACATTTTGGAAATAAATTAGTTAGAAAATAGTTTGGGGCTGAAAGGTTACAGAGGAAAATTGGCAGATTTTAAATTGCTGTGTTAACGAATGACCACAGCAGGAGTGTTAATTTGGGTACTTCATGGTCTCTCTGTGTCAGCCCTGAGCAATGATGAATTATGTGCCTGGGAGCCAGCAGTCAGCCCTGGATGGCTGGCGAGAAAAACAGGGCAAGGACAGGGAAAACACCCAGGGCACCTCAGCAGCACGGCCCTGCAGGCTTCCTTCCAGCAGGCCTTAGCTTTGCCATTTCTTCAGGAAAGGTGGTGAATAACTGGTGGTGGAAGTTTTTTCACAGACATTTGTGTGTTTGCTTTTTTGCATCTATATGACCTTTGCCTTGTGACAGTGAATCTCAAAATTTAACTGCTATTTGTGAGGGAAAAAAAATATGTATCTTCACTTTTTTAATGCATTGTCTCATTCCTGGTGCTTTCTTATTCTTCTCTTTGCTATAAAAAAGCAATGATTTTTTTTTTTACCTAATATTCTTTCCTCTGCCACTTCCTGACTCATGGCGGTGTATCAGATCCCCTTGCAGGTGTCTCTTTTACAGGTCACGGAGTTCTATGGTACTTAATCCCAGGATTGCTGTTTTGTGAATTTTTTTGGATAATTTTGCCCAGGGATGTTGAATTAAACTCATTATCTTTATTGTAAGCGTTATCATTATTGTAAGCATGGGGTTTGTTTTCTAATATCTTGGATATATCTTGAATTTCTTATCGTATCATTGGTCCCCAGGTATTGCACACTTCTGGGGACCAAAATAATAGACTCCTCTCTTTTGCAGGGGCTCTCAGCTTTTCTGTGTGTCCTTGATGGGGAAATGCTCATCCTGCCCTGGCACAGATTCATTTCTGTGAAATGAGTCTCTTTTAGTGCTGGTGCAGGGATGGGGTTTAGGTGTCTCAGTGCTGTGAGGTTGTGTTTCACACTGGGGATTCTGGAAATCTCTTCCTGCATCCTGCAAGTAGTTTATTGGATTGGTGAAGGCTCTGCACTTTTCCTGATAAAAACAGAACATCCTTTTCCATGAAGGTTGTGGAGACTGGTTTCCTTTGGGAAAGAAGAAGATTAGGGGGAAGCAAAGGGAGTGAAACACAGCAGTGCAAGTGAAAATCAGAAGCAGTGCTGAGACTTTATTGTCATGAGAAGTATCAGTGGCTGGTGATTTAAAAGACTATGAAAAGCAAAAAAATTAAAAAGCAAAGAAAATCCTTTTAATAGCAGCATATGTTGTATGAATTTATGATCTGGAAAAGACATTAGAAGTGCCACTAGTGATGTAGAAAATGTGGATGAAAGCAATGCATGGGTTCATTTCTATTTGGAAAGAAGATAATGTTTCTGTAATTTTCAGTGATAGGAAAAGCCCCAGTTGATACCAATAATCTGATTCTCTTTTTCTTAGAGATGGTAATATGCAGTGAATATGTATGATAAAATTTGTTTGTATTTTTCATTCCCTTACCCTCCTATTATAGTTTATAGAAATTTAATCCTTCTTTTTTCCAGTAGCTACTTACATCTTTGCAATTAAATGTATTCCTTGTTTCCTGATACTTTCAGGTTTTAGAAAATTGTTCCAATTGCAGTTCAATTATGTTTATTACTTATCATAACTGTAACCTATTTGTCCATAATAAATGAAATTATACATGTATTACTTTCCTTAAAGATATTATCTGTGTTTAATGCAGTCATCAACTTTGTCCTGTAGAACACAGCTAAGTGTAGCCTCTCTGGTGGATTGCAGTTGATTACTAATTTAAACAATAAGATTATTACCATACTGCAGTTTTAGCTGTAAATGTATTGCACATGTGATTTGTTCCTTGTATTTTTTTTCAAGAACAAATTCTATTATTAATGTATAGAAACTCATTAGCTACATTTTGTTTTATTGCTACAAAACATGAGATTAAAGTATCTAGCAGATCTAGGTCTTACACTTGATCAAGTCTTAAAATTTTAAGGAAGCCTTTCCTTGGAGTTCTTTGACATTTCTTTTTGTGCTCATACAAGGGACTAGTAAAGGAAAAAAAGTGCTTAACCAAGTCTTGTGCAATTGATTTGCCTGCTGCTTAATATGCTTTAAGGACCTGGTTTCTTGCAATGTTTTATTCATGTTTTAATAGAGTTCTCTATTATTAAGTTCAAATATTTTTAATTAAGAAAGAAGTATAGCCCTCTGGGAAATATTGCGAGCATGTAGATAGCTGGTAATTAAAGTTTTCCACACGTACAACTACATTCAAACAATTCTGAATAAATCATTTGAACCTAGAAGAATTCAAATGTCATTATATATGAAAAAAATCCTTTAAACAACAGGTTTTAGCAATCTAGCAAAAGTTTTAAGTGCTTAATAAAAATACTTCATTGTAAGGGATGGATATTCAAATAGACAAGATAAGCTTTTAATTACTAAATGAAGTATTAATTTTAGACAAATTTAGGAGTATTGCAAAATTACTTCTTACATCAAAAGATTCTCCTAAATTACAAAGTTAACTTAATTTCAAATTCAGTTTTCAAATTCTCTGTTTAAAAACCAACAAAGACAATATAAAATTTTTGAAGAGGCTTTTTGGTAGCAGTCATCTAAACTTGAAGAATAAATATTCCAAACTATTTCTCCTTCATTAGTTTATTTTAGGGGATGTTTAACACAGAAAATGGTCATAGCATCTCTTTTCCTTCCTGAGTGTGATATTTTCAGAGTGAGACCATTAGAGGAAAAGAAAACAGAATGACAATTTGAAATAAGCTGGGGAGGGGAACAGCAGATGTTTAGAACGATGCTGTAATAATTCCACAAATCTATGCATCTTTCTTTATAGATGTAAAGGAAAAGACAAGCAAGTCTGGGCAATTTTTTGTGCTTTTATTAAAAAGAGAATGAGTAAAAAGTTCTTTCAATAGTTAGTGCTTTTATTCTGCAGAGCACCAGTTCATTCTGTCAGTTTAATGACTGCATACCAATTATATGAAAGAAGATAAGCCAAGCTTCTCTTATAATAATCAAATAACTGCAGAAGGTTTAAATATAGGAAAATTAACAGGAAATCAGCTTGTTCAATAAGATCAATAAAAGTCACAGCAGCTGCAGGTCTGGTAGAATATTGATACATTAGAGCAAAGCAGGCTCCCCAAGCACAACAAAGAGCTTTGCATGAGGTGAACAAATGACTGATAGTCCCTGAGCTAGCAACAGGCATTCAGAAAGGGTCTGGAGAACACATCTCACATTATTTTAGGATTAAAAATGGTAGCAGTCATCACAATATTCAGGAATTAAGCTTGGACCTCATTTGTGAGGTCTGTAAAAAAGGAATGATAAACGTGCAAACTTCTTCTGTCATCTTGTGCTTTGTATCTTCTGTCATCTTCTTGTACCTTGTATCTTATATACATAGGAAGAAAGCAATGGAGTTTAAATTTCACCATGAATTCTGGTGTAAGGTGACTTCTATACCCCTGAAGATACACTAAAACATTGCACACCACATTTCGTAGCAAGAAAAGTTGTACTGCTGACTCGTGTGTGTTCTTGAGGCCCTCAGTTACCCAGTGCCTTCTCACAGCAAAAGAGACTTCAGATCCTCCCTTCTGCCACGAATATGATACATTCCTGGTCTAAAAGCTCCATTCTCTAGAATCAAAGCTCTGTCCCTCTTTGGGATGGTGTTATACACGATCTCACAGCTCACTGGCCAATACTCCAGTGCTCTAAATCCATTCAAGTCCTGATCACTGCCTGGATTCACTTTTCAAGCAGAAATGCTTTGTACTTACATTTAGAACCAAAACTAAATGTCTCAAGTATTAGACTTGTTCCTTTGTGAAAGAGCAATCTATGTGGACCCTTTAAAAAGGGGAAAGCTTTGCTTAAAAGAGGTGTTCTTTAAACAAAGATAGTGCCAGCAGCAGGTTGGGTGACTTTAAACTGTCTTGTCTTAAGGTTTTGAGCAAGGCTTAAGTATCAACTGCAAAATGGTCAGTATGTGTTTGCAGCTTTTGGCCTGTGGATCAAGTTAGGTGTAACAATTAGGGTTATATTAACAATTCCACCAGTGGATTTGAAGTGAAAGAACATTGAAGTTTACTTGAAAATTCATTCACTAGCAAACTGCCAGAATAACCTTTGAAATCTAGTGTTGACATGGTTTTCCAGAGAAGTTTTATGCTGTGCTTGCCCAACAACTAAATGTTACATTGGTGGTGTTGATGATACTGTGATAACTGTGGGATTGGCTTTAATTCAAGATCTGCATTTAACAGCTGATGGATTTTTGAACTTCTTAAAGCCTGTTTTTATCTTCCTTTTTTAATTGCAGTGGAACAGCAGCTTCACCAAACACCCTGGATCAAAACTGTAGTTCATTACCGTGCTTGCGGTGTTCTTCCTTCCTGGAATTGTTTTAAATATGCTTGATCTTCATAGAGTAACAGAAATCTGTAAACTAATTTTTTTCTAGTAAACATTTTGTTTCTCTTTCAGTATTGAAGCTTTTTGAAGATTCTCTGAGAGACTCTCCAAGGTCTCTCTGGGTTTCATTCATCTATTCTGTTCGGTGATCCTGTCTAGATTGTTGACTTTTCCATTTTATTTCACAGGAGTATGACAGGAAAAAGTACCAGTCAAATAGACTGAGTTCATCTGAACTACAGATGCTGGCCAGCACGAAGAGACAACAAAATGAAGAATTATGGGATGCTGGGATTTCCCATGGGCTGGGTGCCACACTGATCAATTGCTGCAATGTCACCCTAAGTATGAGCAGTGATGATGATACAGCAACCTGGAACTCTGGTTTCTCACCAGTAAGTCTAAGCCCACAGTATTTTCTCAGGGGTCTTGAATGCTAAATTTTCTTTGAGTAGAGTTGAAATTTAAGGTATCATTACCAAGGGCTCTTAGAACTTATCAAGGAAAACATTTAACCAAGACATAAGCAATTCCAGCATGTTCTCTAGTGTCACCATGGAAAAAGAGCAAATCTGTTATATATATTCCTTCCTAGAATTCTGAATAATCATGTAGGCTGTACAGTTCATCACAATAGTGGCTGACAACCTGCAGGTGTGTGATATAGTACTTAAAAATAGCTCCAAAATGAATGAAACCCAGATATACCAGTCAGCAGCTGCATTACAGTGTGAGTAATGGAAAATAATTGCTTCTTACAATGATAAAGTCTCATTACTGAAAAGCTAAATGTTTAAAGAACTCAAGCAGGAGAAAGCAGCAAAAAGCTGCAGTAGTTCTGAGCACTTAGTATGTGATCATTATGTGTTTTACACCTTGGATCATTATTTGTCCTGGTACAAAGTGGTACAGAATCACACACAGCTGCACTATGTGACAGTGCTGCTATAAGAAGCAGAGTATTTGTTGCATTTCAGCAAAAAGTACTGAATGTATGAAAGCACAGAATAACATTTCTGGAACTATATAAAAGTACTAGCAGGAGCTGCTGTGAAACTAGATAACCTCATACTCCATATATATATCAGCAATATAGCTGTTATTTTATTACAGTAGAGGCAATAATAAACAATGAATGTGGCTTAAGTAAAGCACATAGCACAGCTCTGAGGCAAATCCAATGTTAGGAAACTAAACACAGCTGTGTTGCCCCAATATACACTATTGCAGAGTAAATGCTCTAAAATGTTAGGGGCAAATTACCTTCAAGGGTCTACAGGATCCAAATAGAGGCCTGGAGCAGCAACTTCCCACAGTGAATATCAACACAGTGCTGGAACTTTGGAGTACCCTGTTAAATGAAGGTTTCAAATGAGAAGAAATGTGTTGATAAGTGGGTAACTGTACAAATAAAAACTTGATTTACAGAGGAATATTTTGCAGGACATCAGAGAAACATTAGTTGGTATTAACTATTTGATATACATCTCCATTAGGCATTTTGTTAATTTAATATTTCCAATGTGTTTTCTCCCTGCTCGTTAAATAGGCTCAAACATTGTACAAATCTGCAAGACCAGAAAAATGGAACTCAATTAAATATAGAGAATAGCAGTCTCATTATTTTTTTAGTAGTTTAATTATAAGGAAATTGATAAGAATATTTAGACACATCAGGTTTGGTTATTACAAATTACATGACTAAAACAAAATGAACTTTTAAAGTAAAATGTACTGCTGCTGTATTCAGTGAAGAACAATGTGATTGCAAAGAGTATTCTTTGATCTTACTGCCTTGATCAACTTCTGTAGCTTCAATCTAAAATAGTGTTTAGATATATTAGGTTAGTAATATAAATTGCAATTTAATAATTGTAGTTTTTCATAACAGCCCTTTATTGCTATCTTTCTCTACATAATTCAAGCATACAAAACAAGATTTTGTCTTTGAGAGAGCTCTTCACATTTCACTCAGCTGACTGAAGAGTTTGATGTGCCTTACACATTCAGCCTTGTCAGTTTTCTCCTCTGCATTTTGCAAGGTGGACATTGAGGGTTCAAGATACAATGGCAAGAACCTCATTTCCAAGGAGGCATAACTTAGGGAAGAAACATGACCTTTCTCAGATAAAGATTAATTAACCACGTAGTCCCTCTCAAAAATAATGAAATTCAGCTTTTGTGGTCTTCCATACCCATTTACCTCTGCCTTTGTGGAGAGCAGCACTGGACCAGCACTGGACCAGTACAGTGTCACTCAGTCCCCAGAATCTCCTGCTGCACTTCATCTTTTCCTTGCTGAGATATCAGCCACAGCACCAGCTATTCATGGATATGATGGAAGTTTTTTGAGTATGTACTTGGTGTTTAACACTACTCAATGTAATTCTGTTCCAACATTTGGGAAAATGCAGAGTGTCTATGTGAGGGTGATAATTCACTTTATAGTCCTTTGGTATCTAAGAAGGCTTTAACAACATTTGTTAATGGGGGTGATTATTTAATCACCCCACATTCTTTTAACACAGAAGCTTTTAAAAGAGTAGTTGGGGGGATTATTGGTATGCTGCTGTTAAATGTCAGGATATTTTTATATTATTACAACATTTCAGAAGGTTTGGGAGTAGCAGTGCTGTGCCGCTATTCAAATGGTTAGCTGAAAGTCTTTAGTCATGCATTCTCTTTCTGTAAGACCTAAAATAATGGAGTTATAGAATACTTTCATTTGGAAGGGACCTTTAAAGGTCATCTAATCTATCCCTCCTACCACTGGACAAGGATACCTTCCCCTAAACCCAGTTGCTCGGGTCCCCATCCAACCAGGCCTTCAACATTTGTAGGGATGGGCAGTCACAGCTCCTTTGAGCAATCTGCTCCAATGCCTCATCATCCTCATTGTAAAAAACTTCTTCCTAGCATCTGGTCTAAATCTACACTCTTTTAGTTTAAAACTGTTGCCCTTTGTCCTGCCACAACAGGCCCTACTAAAACCTCTGTCCCCATCTTTCTTGGAAAGCCTCCTTTAGGTTCTGAGTGGCTGCAGTAAAACCTTCCCAGAGCCTTCTCCATGCTGAAACCCCAACCCTCTCAGCCTCTCTCCACAGAAGACATCTTCCAGCCCTCTGGTAATTTTTGCAGCCCTGCTCTGAGCTCACTCCAGCAGGTCCAAGTCTTTCCTGTGCTGAGGAGCCCAGGTGGGGTCTCACAGGGACACAATTCCCTCCCTGAACCTGCTCCAATCCTTCCCCTGGATGCAGCCCAGGAGACAATTGGCATTCTGGTCTGACAGGTCATGTCTGGCTCTTCAACCCCCCATACTCCAAAATCCTTCTCCACAGAGCTGCTCTCAATCCCTTCATCCCCCAGTACCAGTAAACTCATCATTTTCTCAACTTCCAGTGTTTATAAAGTGTTTCTTTTATATATATATTTATTCCTTATACATATTTCTTATGTAAAAAATATATGTGTAGAATAAAAGCAGATTTGTTTTATGTCTCTGATCTTTAGTACCACTATCATTTAAGAGAATTTTCAAATGTTCAATCCTTCCAAACTGCAGAAAACTTTTCAGATAAATAGACAGATAGATAGATAGATAGATAGATAGATAGATAGATAGATAGATAGATAGATATAGATCTGTAGCCATCTTCCAGTTGCATAGGTAAATGATTTTAGCAGTGCAATGTACAGAAAAGAAATAGAAATATTCCTTATATTGGAATTTGAGAAATTAAGTATGGCTTGAAATTCTTGTCATGATTAAACTTTCATGCTTACATGTGTTTCCAGGTTGTATCTTTCTAAATCTTTAAATCAGTAGTATCAATTGCTTTCTCTTATGTTTTTCAAAGATAAATAAGGAGTATTTTCTTACAAATTTTTCTTCATTTTATACATTTGTATCCTTTAGGTGGAATCTATGGCAACAGCACCACCAGAAGGCAGCTTTTTGTGTATCTTTAATTTTGAAATGCCTTTGATGTTTTGCAAGGCAGGGCAGGGTATAATCATGTTAGATAGTGAATTTATGTATCAAAGTAATAAACCACATTCTAAGTGAGTTTAATTTTTTTCATCACTTAACCATTTTTAGCCTGATTTCTAGAGTCATTGAAAATTACTTGTTACTGATTTTAATGAATCTGAGAAACCCTTGTCAATGTAAAGGCACATAGATCAATCATATTCTTGAGCTGCAGTTAAAACAGATGTCCTTAACAACTACAAAACAGATATACTGAAATTGTGGATTTATATTCTATGATAGTCTACCAAGAACTGAATATATGCTGTCAGGAGAAAATGTTGAAATGTAAGTGGTTTAGCTGCTGCTGTAAACTATGACAGCCAAAAAGGAATAAAATCACTTTGAATATTATACATTAGCTAGTATAGCCTCAGTTATAAATATGAAAAACTTCTGCTTTAAAATGGGTTTACTTTGAAGGAGAATTGTAAACCCTTGTAAAATGTGTGTGGGGCACAGTTTCAATTCAAAAATATGTGTTTGTAGAACTAAATATTTTTAAATATTTTATTTGACCATGTCTTACCTGAATGTTTTCTTAAATCTTAAGGCCTACAAAAATCCATGCTTGATTTGCAACATTGTGAAAGACACAGTTCTGTATATTGCAGAATATCATGTGAAGTTTATATTCACAGATATATAAATTATCCAAGAAAATTTGCAAAGCTTAGAAAACATTTCTGTTTAAATGCCTTGCTTTATTCTAGAGATCTTGTAAGACTTTCTTGCTTTGTCAGAGAATTGGCCCATTCAGCTTCTTGGATTGTTGTTTCCACACTTCAGACACCAATTAAGACACAATCCAAACATTTTGGAGAAAGATCTATAGGAGAATTCAGGATATCCTACTACATATGGTCCCTGTTTCTCATCAGAAATTCAAAGGAGAAAGATGATTCTCCTAATTGCTCACTGATATATCCTGGAAGCTTGTAGTGATATAATAGTGATATAATGTTGCATTAGCAGAATCCAGATTATGCCCACCACTAAAACCTGTCTTTCAAGTTAGGAATACTCACAGAGAAGAAAGATTACTTGTTCCACAAGCAACTCCCTAAATATAAATTCAGTCACATAAGTCTTGATCTGAAAAATATTTGAAATAGTACTTCCAGGTTCATACCTAACTTGTGGAAGGTCTTTTGGCCTCCTTTGTGACTGTTCAGAAAAGAAAGCCACTTAACACAGAAATGGTCTGGCAGAAGTGAAGCTGACAGACAAGAGGAGTGTTATTCAAACCCAGAATTATGCCAACTGTGAGCTCAGTTTGACAACCCCTGGAGGGATCTGTTCACATCAAGTCAAATTGCAGAACTGAGGAAGAGTATTCTTTACTATGAAATGAGACTAAAAATTATTTAGACAGATATTCTGGTTCATAGACTGACTAATTCACTCTCTGTCTTGTCTTCATCTTCCACTAGCTATCATCTGGGAATTGCACTATCCACCACCAGGCAGTGAGTCAGATTTGGTAGCAATTAGGATGTCATTCATCCTGAACATATATTTTACAAAATCCCTTTCCATTTTCTGAAACCATGAGGACATATTCAGTTTTATACTAATTTTTGTTTTAAAAATAATTTAATAACACTTTTTTATTATTTTAGCATTTAATGTACTAAATTGAGCAAGTATTGTAAATGTATGCTTACATTTTCACTTCTTTTGCATTTCCTTCAATGATTTATTTAGAACTGCTTTTGAGGTGTGTGATAATGGCAGGGAGAGTCCCTTGTGTTAAAACCACACATATTCTGGGAGAAAATGTATTGGTGGATTTTAGAATTCTTGAATTTTTACATCAGTTTATGAATATTGATTTTTCTTGCAAATAACTCTGTTTAATGCCATAAACCAAATGTAGTTTGAAACTTTTGGAGCATGTACTTACAATGGGCAGGTAAGATTTGACTGGGAAATGATCATGTCTTGTATGAATATTCATACAGTCCGCTGTTAGCTATTCATTAACAGCTTAATTCAGGCTTCAAAGCTGCAGTGCCATGGAGAATCATATGTGCTTCACTAATCTTCATTTGGGGCTGCTAAAACTACTGTTACTGCTTATAACCTGGTCTGCCCGCCCTCTTACCTCTCCCTTGGTGTTTTCTACCCTTAAAAGTGGTTAATTCTGCACAGATCCTAAAAATATTTTCTTCCTCATGCTTTGTACACGTGTTCCATCCAGACTCTTTTGTCATACCGGACTTTGCCACCCTCCATCTCTGAAGTCTCCTGGCTATCCCAACACTCTCACAGGCAGCAGAGAAATAACTGTGTGATCACCTGCTTAATTCATATGTATTTCCACCTAGACAAAAATCATCTTCAAAGTTGTACTTGTGTACAGTTATGACCAGAATATCCATTTTTAATTTCACAGATAAGAAAAAAGACTGTAAAAATTCTAATATCTGAAGCTGCAAATGTATATGCTCATACCAGATCTCTGACATACTTCTAAACAATCCATTCTTTTTGTTTTCCACAGCCTGTCAGTCAGCAGCATCACTATCAGAAAGAAATGAGCCCACTTTCCCATTCCAGCCCACGGTAAGATTCCATTTATAGCCCAGGCAGTAAGGATTCAGTTAGAGTGTTCTGAATATTAAATGTGACACTCTTTGATTTAATCTTCAATCTCTTTTCAATTGCAACCTCCTCTCAGAGGGCTTTATTGCTCGTTTTAGTCATTGTCTACAGTATGTCTGAGCTGTCTGGGAACACAGAACTGAATTCTGCATGTTTTGGATGTACCACTGTGTATTTAAAGTATCTGACACAGGCCTTGCTCCTGCATCTGCTTTGATGTGTGATTCAGCAAATCATCCTCATCTCACATCCATACACTCTCATCTATTTCTTTCTCCCTCTCTGCTTTGAAGGCTTAGAGCCAGAATTCTGTATGTGGCTGTAGGTGTCAGGGAATCAATTGGTTCCAAAAGATTTTAATGCTACTTATTAAGAAAGGGGTTTTTTTCAAAAGACAGCCCAGTTAGGAGAGGGGGCAACAACACTTTGGGAGAGAGCAAAGGGATCCTGTCTATAGCATATTTTGTGTGGCAGATTTTTAGCTTGATCCATTTTGTTTGGAATCAGGAACAAAATCCTTGTGAATTCATTGTAAGGTGAGATGACAAGGGGAGAAGGTGGCTAAGGAAAATTAATCACATTGAGACTGTTGAGACAATCAAGATTAATTGTCCAGTTTCAGACCTGCTTTGTACCTGTGAAACTCGAACATCACTTTGTCAATTTTTTAACTGCCTGAACAAGAAGTGTACTAATTTTTAAAAGCAGTCCTATTTCACTTTCACTTGGTGTCATTAATGTGGATTTTGCTTGTCCAAGTTTTAACTGGATGATGTATGTGTGTGTTGGGGGACAGGGATAGGAGGAGAGGACATTTCAGTTACAACTTCTTTGTATTTTACCAACAGTCTGAAATGTTTTCTGAGAGCTCTCTGTCAGTCTGTTATGCAGGATAACGTGTTTCTCCTCACACAGATGTTTTCAGCCACTTGCCTCACTTGCTATCCATATTTTTATGGATTCAAGATGTTCTGATTAGATTTTATGAAGTAAATAATCTGAAACTTTCTGTGCAAGTTCACTCAGTTGCATCATTTATTGCAAGAAACAGCCATATATTTCCAGTATAGTACTGGAGTTAAAAGAATAATCCTGGATTCCTGTTCCCTTTCACATGTAAATCAAGGTACTTCTGTTTGTCTAGAAGACCTCTCTAGGTGATGGTTGTCTAAGGAACCATCTCCTTGTAAGTTGGATGGATGAATGGATGAAGAGGACAGAGATAATTGACTACAGTCCACAGAGTACAGCAGGAGATACCTTGAGACAGAACTTTGGACTCTTTATTCCAAAATCGATTTTATAGTTCTGATGACATTAAAATTGCCTATATTTCAGTGCAAGGTACATTCTTTTTCTTCTTTTTGCCCATATGTTGGTTAAGTCAGGTTTTATGAAGTTATTTTTATGCATGTGCTAAAGCAATTTGGTACTTTGTACATTTTATTTACTGGAAAAACAAATAAACACCATTATCAGTAAAAAGAAAGTGTTTCATCATAGCAAGTTAATATGATCAACAATGAAAACTTGTATATTCATATAATAAAATTTAAAACAAAATAGTATAATTTATTACTTAGTTCTTATGCTATTTTAATCCAGTACACACAGTAGACTTAAATTTCCCTAGAAATCATTTCTGAGAAATGCAGGTGGTATTCATAAAATACCTGACTTGCAAGTGCCTCATAAATTCAGCAACCCTTGTGAACTGCCAGAAAAGCATTATTGGGCTGTAAATACAGAAGATGACAAAATTATGAGGTCAGTCTGCATCATGATGTAAAAACTGGAGAGGATGTGACTTGAATACCATTATTCACATTATTACCATTCATTTATAATGGAAAACTGTAATGTTTTTTACAGAGGATGTGTACCTAAATAAGGAGGAAATAAAATTAATGGCAATTCTATAACTTAGTTCCTAAACTGTTTCTAAAGGGATTTTTAACAAATCCTGTATAAGCAACTAGAAAATGTCTAAAACTTTGTAAGCCTACTATAGCTTTGTAGGGAACACATGGAATATTTGAAATACAGCCCCTTTAAGTGTGTGGGTGTAAATGCTATGGTATGAAGATAGTTACATGGTGCATTTACTGAATGAACAAATAGGTTTTTTTGTAAAGAGGGGAAAAGAACAGGTCTTGAGAGTAATTTTAGAAGTGTAGTAGTGATATCTTCTGGGAAATGAAGAGACCAATGTGGAAGCTATTGTCCAGTAAATGTAGGTTCTGTCCATAATGAGATAAAAGGACAAGCCAGGAAAGAAAGGCTGTGAAGGTAATGGAAATTCAGTCAATAAAGAGACTCAGCTCGACTCATTGCCCATTGGTTGCACTGGGTAAAGGTCATAACTCTGCCAAGAAAATTGTTCCTGCCACAGAAACCAGCCCAGCTGGGGCTGCTGTGCAGGGCAGAGACCCAGGTGATGAGAGGAGACAGCTGAGGCTGCAGGGCAGGAGAGAGAGGGGATGTGGCTGCTCCTGCCCTGGCCCTGCAGCTCCCACAGCTGTGGGATGTGCTGCTGGCAGAGCTCAGGAATTGCTTTCCTCTCTGCACACAGGGAGCTCTCAGTGTCTGTGAAAACTGAAAATTATGGTCACAAGTCCAAAAGATTCTTTTGCTTTCCATCATAGTTCAGCTGTCATGTGACATTTCACCTCTCCAGTGCAAGGACTACATTTATCTATATAACCAGCATCTCCTTAGTAAGATTTTCTCCTCCAAACTATTTGTGTGTCATAGGAGGTTTGAAAGTTTCACTGAAGGAAATCCTGGAAGATAGTAAATGTTCTAGAATTTCAGCCATACTGAATTGTGGTATCCAGAGCTATTCTCTGAAAAAGATCACTTGAATCTAATTAATTAAAAGACCTTTAACTAATTTATTAACAGACTTAATTTATTAAAAGACCTAAACTTCTACAGATGCTCTCAAGAACATTTATTTCTGATAAAAGATTATTTTTCTGCCTTAGAGAAAGGTTTCAACTTATTAGAAAACCCCTGTCTTTATAAACATTGCCTCACTAGATCCTGTCTTGGAATCCTACTCAACTCTTCCCAAAATACAAATGAAATTTGTTCCTCTTGTTCAAACAGTTGTTCCACAGAAACTGCACTGAAGCAGGGCACAAATATTTCAACATTTAATTGATCATCCTTTCACAAGAAGTATATTTTACTTAAATAATTTTGTGCCAAATGTGCATGGCTAAATTTTCAATTAGGTTTTATCCAGATGTTTCTTTTCAGTTTCTTCTCTCTAAAACCAGCTGGTAAGTTCTGCAGCCTCTGACAAATGATTAAGAGCCATTGACCTCCCTTCATGTGGGCTTGCTATGAGCTGACTAAAGCAGGTTGTCTTGTCATTGTAACCTACATTTGTTAAGTTAGACTGATTGGGATGTCATCATTATTCTTCCCTCTACAATCAAAATAACCCAAAAAACGAAACAATGCAATTGACCCAAAGAAAAGTAACTAACATTTTCATCCCTTCTATGGTAAATGTTATAGATTTGAGATTTGTCACCATAAAATGTTTAACTGATATGGAGAATGGTGTGTTTGAGGAGGACAATAACTTAAAAAAAAAAAAAGTTGTTGGTTTTACCTTAAGGAAAAAAAAAAGAACCCAAATCCTCAGTTGCTACTTTATCCAACAATGCAATTTTCTTATTTTTGTAATGATATGCCTGCACAGCACTTCAGGTAATGAATCATGAGATGCATAAACATGTGCCTTTAACTAAAAGTACCTTTTAATTATATACAAACTTGATGACTGGTAAAATTTAGGTGTGTTAGTTCTAAATATAAATTATATGTAAATATAATGAACACCTCTTTCTGTGCATTCTGAACACTCTACTGGTTTTAGAGAATAAATTATTTCTTTATCTTTGTTTGGAATTTTCTTCTAGAGAAGTCTTTTTTCAGAACCTATGGTTACCATATATATTGCCATTACCATGGTACCTGACATTTGCATAATTTGCATAATGTCAGTGATTCCAGCATAAAAAAACACATCAGCTGTAAACTTTAAATATTGAAAGTATCTTCAGCTTTGAGACTACCATTCAAGTACTCTCATCCATCCCAGATGAAAACTAAACATTCCAATAGCTGGTGCATGTGTTGTTATACCGTTGAGAGATTCTGTAAAAATTAAACTCACCCATGAAATGGTGCAGTAAAAGAGGGATTGCAGCTATAACATTTATTTGCACTACACCAGAACCTCTCCCTCGTTCAGGGGGTGAAATTCAGGCACAAGAGGCCCCTGCATTTTCATGCAAAGGTTTGAATAGCAGAATAACTTAGTTAAGAAGCACATTTAAAGACTGTTTTTTTCAAGCAAAGAAGCATATTTATTCTTATGATTCATTATAAGATCATACAATACCATTACTTCTGCAAAACAGACAATATTACATTATGAAGTAGTATAAACTTACACAACAGTTGTCAAAATAAGTGAACAAGAACAATGTATCACAAAATGTACTTTGGTTTTTATTTTACTTGTTCAGTTACTTACCCACAAAATAGAGTAATTTGCAGTAGATCTCCCAGTCGTTAATCTGAATTAGCAAAGTTCTGCTGCATTTGTCAGGCAATAATGTGCATGAAAAAGAACATGACAAAAGGAGCAAATGGCACAGGAACCATCTAATTGAACAGGTTACATTTTTTTAATCATGATACTAAAAAGCTTAGCTGCAGAAAGGTTATGGAGAACCAAGCAGCTAACACACTAAAGCTTGTTAAAATAATCCAAAAATGGCTTTCCCTTGTATGGGAATCTAAGAACATGGAAACATGGCAGCATATGCACTAAGGATTTTAGAAATTACTTTGATTGCAACAAGACTTCTTAGTCACCAGACTCAGGTGCTTCCTGAACTGGTAGAAGAATAAAATACAATTTATTTTTTAAATTTTAT